TCTTCCGATGCCATGTATTAGGTTTTGTGATACGAGTCGGAGGGTTGACATTTCTTTTCCCTGTAACTACAAAAGATGAATGGGAACCATTCTTCTGAACAGCATAGTTGAATGTGCTTTCCTTCTTTGGTATTCTTTCACTCGCAGAACTCAAAGCAAGCGCCTTAGTTTTTGAATCAGGAGCTGGTACAGACATTGCATGATCTTTAGCATCAATCAATACAGACTTAACATCAGCATGTGAGAGTGATTTGGATGGCGGTGCATCTGAATTACCAAGAGCGACACTCCCAAAAACCTTTCCATCAAATGGTGGTGCTTCGGCCTGCAAGATGTCAGCATTTGCTACTGTCAGTGACTTTTCTTGAGAATCAACATCAGATAATACATCAGGCAAATTCTCCATTGGATCATCATTCTGCTTTTCAGTTGACTCTGCATCTGGATTGCTTGGCACAAGAGGCTCATAATATCCGGCATCTGTACCAGGTGATGTTCGACCTGAGCAAGGACAAAGCTCCAAGAAATTGCCTGACTGATCTGTTTCATGGAAAGTCATGGTTTGCTCTTGCAAAGCATCTAAGAGCGCATTTTCTTTCTCACTTTCTTTAATGGTGCTAGTTTTATCAACTATACCAGCAACAGAAGTTTCAGTCTGTGCCTGCCCAATGGTCAGCCCTGGTATGATAGAGAAAGAACCACATGGAAACACTGAGTCTTCTCTATTTGCGTCAATATCAGTCCCCCGAGTTCTGCACTCAGAAGATTCCTCCAAGTTTTCAATGCTACCACTTTCCTTCTCTGTGATTCCACCTTGACACTTGCTACTATTCACGCGAACTGATGCTTGATTGTACATCTGCTCATTTACTGGCGGCAGGGGAGAAAGATGACGCAGATTGGCTGAATTGTCATGAATCAAACGTGAACTGACCATTGAAGAATCTTTGATCAGATCATCATCCACAGAGGAATCCCAAAAAGAGCCTGTTGCATCAGATGATCTACATTCTAAACGATCTTCAAGCAAGATGTCTCCTTCTGAACTTGGTTGATCCTCAGGGGAACAGAATTCAGGACCCAATACTGTGTCCTTGTCAGACTCATTGATATTTCCAATTGCAAGGTTGTTGTCAATTATCAGGGCTGGTGACCCAGGGACTTTACCACAAGAACTAGGCATGCTTTCCCTCACTTCTTGATCCAAAGAAAACTCACCCTGACTAACATTAGTCTCTTTGCAAGGCCAGACATTAGACTCTGTGAAGCAAGTTTTGCGACGACTAATATCCAAAACATCAGTAAAAGAATTCTCAGCAGGATGATGAGATCCTAAATTCATGTCCTGATCAGGCACAACATTATTGGAACTCACATATTTTACACACAACTCAGATGATAATGGCCTGACTGAATCTGACTCATCACTCAAACCTTCCTTATTCCTGCAGACTCCAGGTGCACAGTCACTGATTCTTCCCACAGGTGATGCATAACAGGATCCTTTCCCCGCAACATTCTTAGAAGATGAAGAACTGAAATTAACACTAGTCTGCTTATCTGCGTCAAGGACAAAATTGCTGCCTCTTTCTTCAACCTTCTTGAAAGGAATTGTTTCCAGGGATCCTTCAATATAAACACTCCCAAATGATGGACTGACCTGACTGTCACTCTGAACAATGGTCTTTTTAGTTGAATCAAGGCTAGGAGTGGTATTTGACTCAAGAATAAAATTGTTAGCATTCACAATAGCCCCAGAAACATGATTCGCCTCCAAAATAAATGTGCCACATTTGTCATTCTCTGAAGAACCCAAATCCTCAGGAAAAATTCTAGAGAACTCATCATCAGAAGATGGAGAATCCCCCTTCTGGCAGATCCTCTCACTGCCTTCTCCGATACCACAACTTTTTGATATAACAGCCTTGGCAAGATACTGATCAACGACATCACCACAACTGGAGGGCATGACAGCTTCTGGAGATGACTCATTTGATTCTTTTCCTCCATAATCCAAAGCCCCTAAAGATGAACTTAAAGATTTACTTCCTCCAAACCCAACATCTGTTTCATTCAAAAGTAAATGTGTCGATGATACACCCTTCAAACAATTCTTCCATACGTTACCTTCAAAAGGTTGAGGCTCAGTGATATGCATCGACATACCGGCAAACCATACCCCTCCTTGAAAATACTTGGAAGTTTTTTCAGTACTAAGTGATGCAGGTTGTGCTTCAGGCGACATACTAGGCATGGATCCTCTTTTCATCATTTTCTTCATAATTGTTTTCTTCTTCATGGCTTCCGGAGAAAGAATTTCTCCAGCGCCGCGGCTAGTGCCCTTTCTGCCCAAGACATCTTCATGAGACTTCAGTCTGCTTCTATCCTCATCAGAAACATTTTCCCCTGTGGAAGACAGCTTCAAGTTGCTATCATGTTCAGCATCAATTTCATCCCTGGACTGTTTTAAAGCCTCATCAGAACTAGAGACCTTTTCGCCAGACAGTGCAGAACTACAAACTTTTGTGGCACCATCATCTACTGAAGCTTCAATAATTGTATCGGTATTTTTAACTTTGCAATCGGAAAGAACACCCTCAAGAAGCTTTCCCACAGTAATGTTATCCTTAGAAACAACTGAAGATGGGCTTGAGTGAGTGTCGGGTTCCTTTTCAGAAGCAGAAACTAGCCTTTCAGGCTGTTTGAAACCCACAGAACTAGATGCCTTATCTGTCACATGTGTTTTGAAATCTTTTTCTACAGTTCCACCATTTAGTGAATCTTTTTCATCTGTATCAGTTGACAGTGTTCTTCTAACTTTGCTAGATCTAGGAATAACTGAAACACCTGAAGTCACAACGGCCGTAGGTGGTGACTCTACCGCCTTGGCAACCAAAACATTCGATTTGAATGTGACATCTAGATCCACTGGAGCTCTTCCTCTCTGCTTCTCCACCAATCCACGATCAGACTGAACTAGATGACCTTTGCTGAATGAGTTAGGCCTGTTCTCATCATAATAACTCGGGTTCCAAGACCTTTCATTCTCTCTACCCTTTTGACTAGATCTTGGATGTTCAATCCTTAACAAAACACTTTTCTTTTGCATTTGTTTTTTGGGAGTTCGATTCAATTCATTGCTGCCCTCTCTACTTCCATTAGGAAAATACCGTTCAATCTCAGAACGATAGTAATCATCTTTTTTCTGAGAGAACGCAGTCCTCCCTCCATTAGACACTCCACCATCGGCAGCCCATCTTTGGCTTCCAGACCTTCCATTACCTGCAGAGCCCCTAATCATACCACGGTCTTCCAAAGCACGATATTGATCATTGCTATAACCACAGCTTGACGAAATACCCCTATTTCCGGCCCCTAAAACCCTAGAAGAACTAGATTCTGATTTAAGCTGACCCCGTTCTTGGTAATTCCTCTCTATCCTAGCTGCCCCAAAATCTTGTCTCGCATATGCAAGGCTGCGCAACTCATCCCTAAACCTAGAATTTCTATCCGAACCATGACTAATGCTATCACCAGAAGAACCCCTCGAGAGGCGCCCGTAATCAAACTGATAGTTACGCCCCCGACCAGAATCCGCTACAGCTTTCCATGAATCAGGTCGATTGTCCTTGCGCTCAATCCAAGCAGACTGGGGCACACCTCGAGATTCCGTACACGAGGAAGACTGAGACGGCAGCGACGACATCCTAGGAGACTCATAAGTAAGTTGCTGAGAATCGTACCGGTGATGCTGTGGAGGAGGAGGAGGCGGAGGCGGCAGAGCGTGGTACTCCTGGGCTGAGTAGTACGACCGCGGCTGATTAACCACAGGAGGAGGTGGCGGCGGAGGCGGAAGCACGTGTCGATGGGAGAGACGCTGGTAATTCTGATGGAGGTCGCCATTGTTGCTTGATTTAGGGTTTCCGGGGTAGGATTGAGGACGCGGCGAAGGAAGAGAAGAAGGGGAAGAAGACGAAGGAGGAGGGGGACGAGGAGGGAAAGGACCATGCCATTGGCCATATCTATGGCTGTAATAGGAGGAATCCATGGCCGATGCACTCCGAAATCAGATCGATTCTTGTCGAAGGTTCTCACCGATTCTTCGTCTTCTTCCTCTCGAAAACACGGTTCAGGAAACAGAGCATCGGAGAAGAAAACAAAAAACCTAAACTTTTGTGGCTCGCCAGTTTCGCCTTTCGATTTTATTGTTTGACGTAACGGTTTCTCTCTCTATCCCCACCCCTAAGATGGGCCTACATTTTAGTCGGCCCAATTAACGTACGGTCCAATTATTGTAGGCCCAATTAATATCTGGACCAATTGCTGTGGCCCAAGTTATTATTTTTTGTTGTTTAAGCATCTGACGGCCCAAAGCTTATCCCACGTGGTCTCTTAGCTCCAATTGGATTTGATTATATCTAGGTTGATTATTAGAAAAGATATAAACATGTATTGAATGCGATTTAATTTTGTTTTGGTTTAAATTCGATTTCTATTCAATTTTTATTGTCAGTAAAATACTGTATTTGTTTTTTTATTGAGTTTAGCTTGATTTGATCTCAATTCTTTTTTAGTTCCGAAAAATTATAACTATTCAATTTTTGTATAAGAGTTGGTTTGTCGGTTGGTTTATTAACCGAGTTGATCACCCCCGATCGGTAACCCTAATATCAAATGTAAATCGAATCCAAATAACTTATTTAATGAAATAACCTGATATAAATCATCTTGATAATTTGCATACAAAGGGAAAGCAAAATAAGAAAAACAATATGAAAAATAGATTGATAATTTTTAGGATATCACAATAATTGGGTCGGGTCGACCTAGTCTGAACCCGACACAAACCCTAAGATTTACGGACTGGACTGATTTTGGACTTGAAGATTCAAAAACATTAACGTATAAAAAATAAACTATAAAAATATAAGTTAAAACTAAACAAAATATAAAAGTTTTAACACATGTTTGAAATAACCAAAAAAAAAAGTTCGATAACAGAATTCGTTAGTATATATTTTGATTTAAAATAAATTAATGTTCGAATTTTTAAGTTGAATTAGATAAATGTTCTTTATTTTTTTATATTTATAAAGTTTGTAATAACAAAAACTATTTAAATATTAATTATTATATTTTTCAATCCAAATAAATATTTGAAACTAATGATATTGTAATTTCGAATGTATTATCTATTAAAATATTACATCTTGAATTATTTACTATTAAACAATTTTTATATAATTTTTATGATTTTTTTATGTTATGTAGATTTTTATATTTTTTTTACTCAAATTTTAAATATAATTATAAAAATATAATAACTATATAATATATATATATATATATATAAATTTAATTGTAATCGATCTGTGGTCTAAATCGATCGATCTGAGTCTGAATTTGACTCGTAATTTCTTGATCTCACTTGATAAACAAACGGGTTTCAAATCTTAAAGTTCAAGCCTATAAATTTTACGGACGGGTTTAGACCGAATAATAGACTTCGACCTTTTTTGATACACCTAGGTACTTGTAATAATATATATGAAATAAGATGTTGATGAAAGACGATGAGTGGACCGTTCAAATGATAAAAGTCATGGAGGCTACGAACCACATGGAGTGGGCATTACATGTTTTGTCCTTGCGAATATTAAATTTTAATGCACGTGAATGCGCACTTAACATTTATTACGGGTTTTTTTATGTGAAAACGATTGCTTACTTTCGTGTTTTATCCACGAAATTTTTGTATTCTAGACGCATAAAAATATATGACACATGATATAATAATACGCAAAAATATATCCACCAAAATATTTGTATTTTAGACATGTATATTATATAAAGGTGTCAAATGGTCCGGTTCGACCCGACCCAACTCTGAACTTAGCTCGAGAGTTTCGGATTCGGGTTTGGACCGATCCAAATTTTTTCGGGTCTATAATACTAAATCCAAACACCTCTTTTTAAAAAAATTCGGATTCGAGTTTGGACAGAGCAGTTAATTCTTTACTTATGTGCTTTGATATTTTTTTATTAAAAAAAACTAAATCGAACTTTTAAATCCGGTTTCGTACTCAAATTGACAACTCTAATATTATATACGTATATAATTTTAAAAAATTGGGGTGAATTTTGTGTTGGCTGTAACTGTAGAAATATTTAAAAGGAAAAAAAAAATAGGAAACCTATCTTCAATTTTAAACATGTCATGTGAAATTCTGTGCCCACACACGCAATAATTGTTATGGTCCATGACAAAATTCAATACCACTACTGCAGTTTTCCTTACAAAATCTTTATTATCCAATCAACTCTTTACATTTAATTATATTAATCTTATTATATTAATCTTATTATTTAAATCAATGGCCATCTTTTTTTTAACCTCAACACTTTGTTATTTCATCCACATAAAATTCTAAATTCAAAAAAACAAAATTGAATAATACAATTTCCATTTCATAAAAAACAAACTTATCTCCCTTTTCTCTTTTATTCTGTTTTCTCCTTTCGATTTATTACAAACCACAATGAAAACATGACTATAAGGACAAAAAAAGAAAGAAATATAAAATTGCAAAACACACCCCAAATTTTCATAAACTACAATTATAACCCTGACACAGGGGAGAGGAGGAGGCTAAAAGAAAGGACAAACACAAATCCACCTCTCATCCACCGCCCCATTCAAATTCAGAGAAAACCTTCCACATATCTGTGAAGTAAATATATACACTCAATACTAAAACCCTTTTCTTCTTTCTGAACATCTGTTTCAATGTTTTGTAGTATAATGAAGAACTAGTCGAAGCTCGGAGAACGACTTGTCCTGCCTTTGAGATAATCCTCGACCGAGATGCTCTGTTCTATACTTCCCATGGAGAGGGAATCATCTTCCACGTCGAGGAGTGCTAAGTTAAGATGTGACTGAAGATTCGATCTTCGGAACTTTTCATCTTTCAGAACCTCCGAGTCTTCTGAAGGGTTATTCAGTTGCTGCCTCGCCCATGTGAGAGCGTCTTCATCGCCTTTAAGCAGCTTCAAGACCTGAAATTCAACAATACCCGGTTGTCATTATCGTTCTTCGGGTCTGTCCAAATGCAGAGAGGATCAAGAAACGTAATTAAATGTGTGTTAAACGTGTTACCAAATGACGTTTATCCATGGAGAACATTTCTCTTATTACAGTTCTTTCATGAGTTTTTTTTTCAGAATCCATCCTATGACCAAGTGGTTTGAATCTACTACTTGAATTGGAGTGCATGGTATGGACAAGAATGACTCACCATGCTCATTTTAGGCCGAGCTTGAGGGCTATGTCTTATACAAAGAGTGGCAGCCATTGCCATCAGCTCCATCTGGTCACCTTCATAGTTATCTCGTAAACTCGGGTCCAATAGCTGCGAGTACTTCCCGTTATCTAATATCGGCTTAGCCTGCAGGTTGTAAATTGTAACTATGTCTAGCAAGAACATAGAAAGCTCGAAACTTTGTTAGAAGATTCCCCGAGATGATGCACATACCCACATAACGAGACTCGTTTGAACCTTTGGACTTTCGTTGCTAATCGGTTTTCTTCCAGAAAGAAGCTCGAGAAGAACAACACCAAAGGCATACACATCTATCTTGTCATTCACCTTACCATACATAAAGTACTCTGGAGCTAAGTAGCTGCATCAAGAATGAAGATTATTCAAACAATTTGATCATTCAACTGTCATCTCTTAAGACAACTTTCATCAGAAAGATCAACCAGATTTGGATTCTTCCATACCCGAATGTTCCAAAGACATCTGAGCAGATTTCGTGAGTTGAAGATGTCGATGCCCATTTTGCAAGCCCAAAATCCGAAAGCTGCAAGAAAGATTTCTCCTTTTTCAGAATCAAGTCTCTTTTGATGAACATAGAAACTAATCCAGTTAGTAATATACCTCTGGATCAAAATTGTCAGATAATAGTATATTTGATGATTTAACATCTCTGTGGATAACGGGTTGGGAAGCATGGTTATGAAGATAGTCCAATGCCTCAGCTACTCCCACGGCAACCTTATATCTTTCCCTCCAACAAAAAGCAAAAGGGTCTTTCTTGTAGCCTGGAAATGAACCACTTCTTGTTATATCAGTGACCATGTAAGAATCAGAAAAGGGCATTAAAAAGGCCAAGGCTTGCGTAACAGCGATATGGTTACCGTGAAGATTCTCCTCAAGGCTTCCCCTTGAGAGATAATTGTACACAAGCAATAGATTGTTGTCCTCAAAGCAAAAACCAAGTAGTGAAATAATGTTCTTATGGTTCAAGGTTGTGATTATGTCAATCTCCGACACAAACTCCTTCAGAACATCTTCGTTCTGCTTTAGAATCTTCACCGCCACTTCTCTTCCACTCGGCAGAAAGCCTTTAAAAACCCGGCTACTGCCTCCTTTCCCGATAAAATTCCCTGAAAACCTCAATGTTTTTGTTTCTTAGTTAGATAAAAGCTAAGCAGAGAACTTAGAATCAAACAGATATAGAGCATCGGAAAGGAAGAACAGAAACCTGCAGAGAAATCCCATGTCGCCAAGACAAGTTCCTTGTACTTGAAAAACCTGCAAGTTGAGGAGTACTTCTCATGGAGACCCTCTAACTCTACTGGCAATCTTCTCGGGCTATTATCAGGAGAAGAATGAGGAATCATAGAACTAATACCAACAGGAACCATAGCTCCAGTTTGAGCATTTAAGCTTGGTGATTCATCTTCACAGGAATGCAAACAAATTTCCTTTGTGACTGAATTGCCACCAAAAGAGATGTTCCTAGAGGGCAGCTTCAGTGCCCACTTTACAACCGGTATCTGTCTCAACGAAGACCGGTGAAGAGGAGAGGCTTGCCCCTCCAAAACAACCGCACGGCGAAGCAACGGCCAACCTGGTCTGGATTCAGGTAATTGTCTTACCAACATAGTAATGGAACCAGAGGAATCTTCTGGATTCTTGGCATGAACAATGGCCAGCGACTTCTGGTTCTTGTGACCATCGAGATTCGAAGATTCAGACAGCATTCGAGCGAGAGAACCTGAACCACAGACCGTGCAATTCTGGAGGCGAGATGCAGCTAAGGCCTGTCCTAGATTCTGGCATTCGCCACGATTCTCTGCGTCTTCCTCCTTGAGAGCCACTTCTTCTGAATGGCTCGCTACTTTATTGCTCTTACTCAATATAACAGGCTGCTGAAACGCATTGAACAATGTGTTCCTGCGGATTTCTTCTTTTCCTATTTTTTCCACAAACAAAACCAAGAAGGGCTTTCAAAAACAACAGCCAGGCGGATCATCAAATGCAAACATCTAGAAACTAAGTCCAGAGAGCCGGGGGAACCTTGAGAGTAGGTTGATGGAGAAGTAGAACCTTCTTTCTGGAACACGATTTTCCCGTTATTGACGGCCAAAACCCAGCAATCATCGGTCAGTTTCTTAGCACAGTACTTAGCTACAGATGCAGAGGAGCGAATTGCGTGGTGATGTCTGGAGATTCCGACAATAACTTTGGCCGCAGAGAAGGATTTCGCTTCCCTGACAAGAATCTTCCGGATCGACGAACCACGGCATAGTTTCAGCTTCAGATCCACCTACGACATGAATTCCAACATGTCCCAATTGTTTGTTAGGCAACTGGAGATTTCTGAATGGAGCTCGGAGAAAGTTGAAATGGAAAAAGGAAAAAAAAAAGATTGAAGCTTTGAGAATTGAAGTGCTCCATTTATTTTCTCGGGAAACAAACAGATAAGTCCAACCTGTTTCAAATTGCAGAAACCTTCGTAGACTTCAAGAACAGAGTCAAAGGTTTTCACCAGTGAGAGAAGCGACGACGTCCCAGCTCGATCGACAATCTCTGCACAAAACCAAACCCAGAAAAAAAAAAACGAGAACCCATTTCAATTTAATCTCTGTAGGAGAATCCCAGATGAAGAAAAACCCACAAAGTTCCGATTTTTTTCTGTTTACCCCGAATCAAAACATACCATTTCCAAGAACATGAAGAGCGATAACAGTATCACCAGGTTCAGCAACCTTGACCAGAGCCCACGTCAGCAACTCCCTGCTCGGCGCGTCGAGCTTCACTCCGACCAGAACAGTTCGACCACCGCCGGCTCCGGCTCCGGAGACGGCGACAGAGCCGCCCTTCTCCCCTCCTCCTGGAACGACGGCGTTTTGTATCATCTTCTCCGTCTCGTTTTTTCTCTTCTCCTGCCCCCTCCTCACAGAGGTCGTCTGAATTTCAGGTGTGCCCTTCTTCTGTCGAATGATCTCCGGAGACAGAAGATCATTTTAAGGATTTTATACCCTCAAAACCCCAGAGAGAGGGAGAGAGAAAACAAAAAAAAAATTGGATTTGTTCGGTAGAGATTTAACCGTAGGCTTCGGTTTGCTTTTGAAGCTGGTCACAAAGAAAGAGGAGACGGAAGCAGAGCAGGGGCAGCCATCTTAGAATTTCATTTTCATCCTTTTTTTTTAATTATTTGTATACGTTTTGTATTTAATTTGACCTCTACTTGTCGTTATTTATTACAATTCTGGTTTTAGTTATAAATTATTATTTTTTACTATATATATATATAAAGAGTAACATGGAATAAAATATGGCCAATTATATGGAAAATATTTCAATTGCGTCATTTTTATAGACCATGAATTCCAAATATAAAAAAGAAAATAAAGGATATATGACTATTTATGGGCGTACGACAGTTGATTTACAAATAAATAGGAAATATATGGAAATTTGATTTCCCTTTTTTTGATAGAGAGTTGACGGTTCACGGATAAAGTAATCGTGGGGGCACAACAAATAGATGAAATTTAAATATTTAATATTTTATGTAAATATCTTTTAACTTTATGAAATTCACGGATCTTATCCTTTTTTTTCCTCTTTTACCCAAGTCTAATTGCAGTCTTCCTATTATTTCACACCTTCCCTTTTTATATACACACACAAATGAAATATAATTAAAATTGTTTAGATATATTTTTTTATAATTCAAAATTTTATCGTACCATTATTTCAAATATATCTTCTAAAAGATTAAAAAATTCATATGAATACTTCTTTACAAATGGGGAATCGAATATAAATTGGAAAAAAAAAACTTTATTCTATTTTTTGTCAGTTAAACCATCAAATTTTGGATTGTTTAGATATAATTTTTACAATGAAATCAACTTAATTAAATTATAATCAACATATTTGCAACATAAAGAGGGATCAGGTCGGTTTGTTACTATATAAAAATACATATTTAATTAATTTTCCTAATCATAGTTGATATATCAATCCTGAATGATGTGCATTAAGATTTGTTTTACCACTTTAGAAATATCATGGTTATAAAGCTTATGTTTTTTTTAATGGTTGTTATAAAAAGTAAGTGGCACCTTAGAAAAATGAAATATTATTATTATCATTACCGAAAAAGTCTGTATAAATTTCATATATTTTAATGGGCATATAATTTTGGTCATAAACAAAAATTACATAGAATCCGTTTGTCATAATGCAGAATCCGTTTCCATAGAACGAACATGTGTTTTTCTATGGATGACCATTAATTATTTATTTGTGGACCAACTTTCTCAAAAAAAAAAAAAAAAAAAAAAAAAACCAGTGACCATAGATTGCTCTATAACATAAACGTGCGTGTGTGTGTATATATATATATATTATATATATTCCAAATTGTTTCAATATATGACAATTTTATTTATATTTTTATACTATATACAATACATAGTTTTTTGCAAATATAAAAAAAAGTGTTAATACAAAATTAATAAATATATTTATAAGAAATTTTGTATATCTAAAAATATTCGAATCAAATTTAAATAATATATATTTATATATTTCTATGCGAATTAAAATTATTAGGATATTTAGATTTAAAAATATATATATATTTGAATTCAATAATTACGGAATAGTTTTGACTACCCCTGTGAACTGCTAAAAGATCATAATTATTATAAAATATTATTGTTATTTCATGGTCAAATAACAGTTCTAATTAAAAAAGATAATTAGCAAGAGGGTAAATAATGGATTGTGAAGCTGAAGGGTCATCAAATGGGTCGGTGGACCGGCCCATACAAAATCGCGGCCCCTAAAATGCCCATACACGTGATCCTCATCTTGACACCGTACACGTGTCCTCTTTCCGTATTCCACGTCATCAACTATCCCCCGTGTCCCATGCTTTCCCACGTGTCACCTTGCTTACGTCATAGAAAATATAAAGAAAAAACTTGCTTACGTGTAATCATCTAAATATAAAACGCATTTAATATCGGGTTAGTAGCAAAAGTTAAATGATAATTAATGATACTAATTTATAAAAATAATTCGGTGTAATTTATATTTTATTTACTAACCACGTAAGAATAGAATGAGTTCAGTTACTTGTCCCACACGTGATTCTTCTCTCGTTAGTTGCATGAAAACGAGGATAGCTTTAAACGGAATGCATGCCGTTTTAAAAGTGATCATTTTCTGGTCCGAAGTCTAAAAACGACACGCAAACCGAGCACGAAAGCCATACTTCACCGTCATATCATCGGAGAACGACACGATTTCCCATCCCCCGACCGCTCACCCGGCACGTAGTTCGACTCTTTCCTCCCTCTCTCTCTCTCTCTCTTCTATGATTTATATTTCAATTTTATTTTTGTCCATTTATATATTATATGATTACTTTCATTCCTAATTATTAAAGTTTTCAACTTGGACATGGAGAACTTGGTGCTAATAGTTTATCTTTAATGGATCTTTGTAATAATTTGTATATTTTAAGATGAAAGTGATCATATAATATATAAATCGGATTATTTTAATTTTATTGTATAAATCGGATGAGTTTGACGTCAGTGTATAAATTAGGGTAGTTTTTATCCTATTATATCTATATTTTAATCGTTTTATTCTTATACGTAATTTGACATTTGACGTTTTAAAACAAATGAAAACAACAATTACAATATATTATTAAGTTGTAGTGAATTTTTTAAGTGATATTTGATTTAACATACTTATGGGGTGATTAGTATGGTATATTTTAATTCCAAACATTTTAAAAATAATATAATTGGCTTAACGTCAAGTGACGAATAAATATAACATTTTTTACAACCCATTCCATTCTCATTTTCAGGGACTTAATGTAACCGAATTCTGCGATACTGTACATTTTAATTTTTATTTTAAATATAAATATCTGGATATAAATTTAAATAAAATAAATTCAAATGTTATTTTAATAAAAATATTTTCAATAAAAATAATTTTTTTTAATTTACAATAATTCGGGCTAAAAAAAACGGATTTAGCACAGAAGCGACAAAACCGTGAGGACAAAAACATTAACTAAAAGAAAAGGAAACTTAGTTCCTGAGTTGGTGGGTGTTCTCATTCCACGACAACGGCACTTAATCTTAGATCTCGCAATTAATCTCTCCTTGATTTTAAATTCAATTTTATTTTAATATAATCTTATTTTATTATTTTAATTAACCCTACATGAATTATGTTGTATAATTAAAACATTGAATCCGAATCCCTATCCCATTATTTTTGCATGATTTTCTGGAGCCGAAACGTGAAAAGCTAACCTAACGACCTTTCACGTAATAATATATTATCCAAGTAGGATACTTTTATCAATATGACATGTTATATAATTCAGTTTTAAAATATTCGCCCTCAATAAATTTTTTTATTGTTATATAAATATAAAGACAAACGCCCATTAACACATCATTAGGGTTGTAAAATGGATTTACCATGTGGACTGACTCGTTAGTCGTTTTATATTTTTCCGAACCGATCTCATAATATTTGAGTACGAAAAAAATGGGTCGAATGAACTACTTCGTCACGAGTCGGATTGGGGGGGAGCCAGTTCGGTGAGCTCACGAACTCGTTCGCGAACCAAATTTTTTTTTAAAATTTTTTTAATATTTTTTATATATATTGTTAAATATTTTATATAAAAATTATGTTTTTAATAAATATTTAGTTTGTTTTGTTTATGTTTTTAAATTTTTTATTTTTATTATATTCTTAAATATTTTTTAACATTTAAATTTTATTTTTTTAATTATTAATTTGACTCGTGAATTGACTCATTTGATTCGTGAGCTAAGGTGAGTTGGATCGGACCAAACAATTTTTGGGTCGTTAAAAAATAAATCATGTTGGATTGAGTTAAAATATACTCTTACCGAGACAGAATCAAATTGGATTGGACCGAGCAAACCCGTTTATAATACAATACTTTATTTTCAATTATATATCTGTTATTTATTATTATTACTGTTGTGTTGTTGAGATTTAATGTATTTGAAAACATAATGTTTAGTTGCGATATAAAATTATTAAACTAGTTTCATTTCAGGAGCTATTATATGCTCATTATCAAATAAAACCGTCATTATTTTCCGAATTTATGTATTTATATTTTAATTTATAAAATACGAATTTGAATTTCATAGCAACCATAAATGTTCGATATCATTTAAAGAAAGGAAAACTATACATATCACATGCTATAAATCTATGGCATTACTACTTCTTTTATTGACTGTGAATTTCTCATTGAATTAAGTCTATATAGATTAATAATTAATATAATTAATACAATGCTACACGATCTATATATAGCCATATAGGCCATGCATAAATTATGGATTTTTAATCGACGAATTAATGTGTACGATCGTTATTATACACTAAGTTCTAAATATAATTTAGGTTAGTATAAAAGGTGTCTTTTATACATGTAAATTAATCTTTTCCTCCCACATCGTTTATTTTTTTATTGTTAAAATTTATTAAAAAATATATCATGAATGAGTGAGATGGGGCATGTATTATGTGGAGGCGAGTGGAGGCGAGTGGGGCATGTATTATGTTTTAGCTAGTTAACTGTCACATTTGAATCACATATATATTTATAAACAAATAAATAATTTTCTTAATATCAGAACAGAAATCGATTGTCTCCCACATAATAATTTTGAAGAAAATTATAATGATTTTTTTGTGATATTTAAATTAAAAATTTTCATATCGATCCAAATGAAATCCATCCTAAAATCCAATATATATGGTCTTTCAAAAAATTAATAAAATCCAACCAAACAAAAAAAATGCAATGGAAACGGAACCGAAATTCAAGATATGCATTCTCAATACATATGAATTTTGTGGATAATTTTTTTTATTGATTATCAGAACTTTTGTAATGATAATTATGGTTTGTTCTATATCTTTGTTATATATATATATATAAATAAAAATGAAGATGTTAGGATGATGAAAAATGCAGGTTGGGCCCAGGCCTCTGATATAAGATATAGTTACCATCTGGACCGTCGTTTTTTTTTTAAAATTTAAATCTGGGCCTTAATTTATTCAGAGAAAAGCAGCTTTGGTTACACCTTTTCATGTTTTGAAACAATAAAAACATTTTGATTTCCAAAACCCTTTTCGGCCCTTTAGGCCCGAAAGGGATATTTCTATATTACCATTACCATATTTCATATTAATATATTTTAAACAAATATATTATTGCTATATTTCCACAAAATCTTGGACATAAACTTTAGAATATTTCCACAAAATTTCAGGGATGATAAAAATATAAAATAAAAATTTATTAATCTATGTCGTGTATATCTCATTTGCATGAAAGCCTGTTAATGGGAAAACAAATATTAATTTACGGAAATTTGTAAGATATTAGCTAATATAAGAATAACTATTAATTTAATGAGTTTTTTTTTGTATATACGGACATCATTCGTTAATTTTCGTTCACCTTATGCCTTATGATATGAAACGAGATAAAAAGAATGTGTTAGCAGTAAGTTTGGTATTTGCATAAAGTATAATTTGTGAAATCTTTTATTAATATATTTTACAAATAAAATTTTTTATTCAAATAATAAATAATCCCTAATTTAATTTTGTTTAGAATCTACTGTGTTTTAAGTTAATTTTGCCTTTCTAAACGGGTAATAGACTTTAATCGTGCCACGTGGCGAGTTTAGAGAGCGAGTACATTACCAATGCATACGTAAGCTTAATAAGGGATTGGATCCTGAGCTGTAGCCGCACTCAGTTCGTTAGCTGTCTAAATATTGTCTTTTTCCCGAAAAAAACAATTTTTTTTTTCACTTTATTTTTTTTCCCTAATAAAAAAAAAATTCGGAATCTATTTTTCGGCAATTATTCGCTTCTCCCAGAAAAACCCAACTGGAAAGAACACGAGGGTTTCTCTTGTTTTGATTCAGTCTCTGATTCAACCTGTCGAAAAGCTACTCTGTCTCTGTTGTCTTGGTGAGGCTTTGGTAATGAAATGGCTTTGATCATAACTTGTTTGTTTCAGTTTCTGCAACTGGGTTTTGCTTCTTCGGTTCGGTCCTTGCATTCTCGATTGGTTTGTACGGTTCTTATGCTCTTTAACTGTGTTTGTTTTGATCTGTTTCTTCGGATCTGTTGGTTTAAACCCCTTGTTCCCGATGGCCATTTCGTTGTATTTACTATTACTTATTGTCATTTTCTGAGTATCTGTGGATCGATTTAGGTAGGGACCTTTCTTTCTGGTCGACATGTTTTTTCCCCTTTTGTTGATTCTTGAGGCAAAATCGAAGTGGAGTTGTCGATCTTTGATGCTACGAGCATTGGCTTGATGGCTGTTTAGAACAAGACCGTTTTGCCTTATTGGGTGATTTCTTTTGCTTGTGTGGCTAAAAGAGAGAATCTTGATATTAGAACTGATGATGCCGGAATTCACTGGAGGGGGCTGATCTGGGGTTTATTCCTGCAGTATTGTATAATGTTGCATAGTGATGGTTGTATAGTTTCTACATTTAAGAGTTAGGGCTCGTCGCTTTTGTTCTGTAAAGGTCTTTTGATGGACTTACTCTTGCTTGGTTTAGACAGTTCTGTGATAAAGGTGTTCAAGATTCTTTGGTGTGTTATTGAATATGTGAGTTTATATTTATTTTTTCTTCCTTGTATGGATCTTTAGGCGCACTTTGGGGGAAAAACTTTCTTAAAGAGAGTATATTCAGACAAGAAGATACGCCATGCAGTTATATCATCATCCATACTCTTTGGACAGCCAAAGGGTGAGACTTGCATTGGAAGAGAGAGGCATCGATTACACGTCCTACCATGTCAATCCCATCACAGGCAAGCACATGGACTCTTCCTTCTTTAGGATGAACCCCAATGCAAAACTTCCCGTTTTCAAGAACGGTTCCCACGTCATTTTGGACACTATTGAGATAATAGAGTATGTCCCCACCCACCGTCTTTATCTACTTATGGATTGATCTAATGCATTGTAGAATCGGGTCCTTCTAGTGAAATTTCTACAAACTTAGATGTCTAAGTTTTGATCGAAAAGACAGTCTTTTGCACTACTCATCTGTCTTTGGATAGAGAGCTGAATTCTCGGGTCTTGAACTTGCAGGTACCTGGAGAGAATAGCCGTGGTCTCCTCTGGCACCGAGGGCACGACTTTCAGTAGAGAAGTTCTCGAGTGGATGAGGAAGATAAGGGAGTGGGACCCGAAGCTTTTCACGCTTTCGCACATACCCGAGAAACACCGTCTCTATGTCTCCAAGTTCTTGAGACGGGTAGTCATTGCTCGGATGGCTGAGTCTCCCGACATGGCTAGCGCCTACCATAGGAAGCTGAGGGAAGCTTATGAGACAGAAGACAAACTGAAGGACCCTGAAGCTGTGAGAAGAAGTGAACAACACTTGACGAGGCTTCTGGATGAGGTGGAAAATAAGCTGAGTGAGACGTCGGGGTATTTGGTGGGAGACGAGTTCAGTATGGCAGATGTGATGCTGGTGCCAGTCCTGGCCCGGGTTTCGTTGCTGAATTTGGAAGAAGAGTACATAAATGTCAGGCAAAGTCTCTCTGAGTATTGGAGAATGGTGCAGAAGAGACCCAGCTACAAGGTGGTCATTGGAAGGCATTTCACTGGTTGGAGAAGGTATAGAACATTGGTCAAAACATGGTTCTTTGTTAAGATCAGAAGTTTACTGAGAAAATATTAATATGTGAAAGAAAGAAAGAAAGAAAGAAGGTGGTTTGCTTATCTTCTCTCTTTGATTTTCTGATATGTGGATATTTTGCTTGTAAATTGAGAAGATCATAAGGAATATGGTCAAACGTTATGCAGATTTCCCCTTCTTAGTTGTCACAAAAACAGAGTGATGAGCTAAAATTTTATTTACAGATGAGAATTCAATCTGGCAAGTCAGGAATCTTAGGGGAAGACTTGAAATATTTCTTCAGGGAGAGAATAAGGGAAGTGATGCTTATACATTAAAATGTTTTTCTTTCTTCTTGTAATCAAAGGTCTTTGTCATTAAATAAAAGAATTTAGGATACACTAAAAGGAAGAAGAACACAAAAGACCTGTCCAGGGAATTTCCCATGAATCAATCAAAGTGTATTTTCCCTTCAGAGCTGTTTGCTGTTGTTGAGAAGAATTATACCGTTCACCAAGACGACTCAAAACTCCACTTTTCACCAAAAGCCTGTATCCACCACAGTCAAAACATTAACAATAAGAGTTACTGAATTTTTCTCAGAAGTTATGTATTGCCAGGTTCAGGGCCACTTGTATTTCCTCTTAACATTGTTTCCCTTGATTATTTCCCAAACCACTCCTGATCCATGGAGGAACATTCCACTTCTGTTGTCTGAAGTATCTTTGTCCGATATCTGATGAAAACCATCTCTTTCGGGTGTTCCCCGAGATGGTTTCAGCCCCTGGGATGTTCCAACAGGCCTGGTGGAAGACGGGTGAGCAAGTCGAGTTTCCATCTTCGTTGCCTGATGCAGAGACTGACACGTTTTTCTTCGAGAAGAATTCATCCCGTGAAACTGGCGGTAGAGGTGGAAAAGGTTGAAATGGTATTCCAGGAGCAACATACCAACTGTCTGGATCTTCTTTGTTGGGGGAACCGAATTCATGAACAATGCTCCATGGAATTCCATAAGAGACGGGCAACCGAGAAAGGAACTTCCCTTGCATCTGTGAGATTACTGCATCAGGAGGATCTTTATTGGAAGGTTGTTTCGGCGGTGAGGAAAATCCGGGAGGAAGGTTGTCTTGTGTATCCTGGTTTCCGTTCATTTCACTCGTCTTCTGAGGCAAGGAGGGTTCCATTCTTTGTTCTTTTGTCATAGCTGGCTGGTCCCATCTACTTTTACGCTTGCGAATTCTCGTACCGCTGGCTTCTGGAACATTGGAATTAGGTTCTGAGCCACCTTCAGATGCAGAAACTGTTTCAGAAGATGCAGCTCTTGACGATAAGACCGAGGCCACTGGCTCTATAGGTCTTGAGGACAGATGATCAAACTGAGGTGCCATTGATGCTGAGAGTCTGCTGTTACTAGGTTCTAGTGTAGATTCCAACCTCTCATCCCTATCCAAGTAATAAGGTCTTCTAAACGGCTTAGGAATCCATCTGTCTCTGAAGTTTCGTGCAATTTGATGAACCTGAACACATATATATAATAACCATTAGAGAGTGCTAAAGCAACTAGATAAGTAGAGCACTGACATTGAATACACTTGCAAATAGAACAAGAAACATCTCGGTACCTGTTTGTCATCATGCTCGGTCAGTGTCAGTATGGAGTCCTTGAAGCTACACGAAATTAAACATCAAATGTTACATGGTTTCTTAAAACAACTGAAAAGTGGTACAAGAGCAAGGCTCTAAAAAGAGCTGAATACAGATAATTATCTTGGGTATTCATAATTTCCAATAAACTAGCTGAAAATTCCATAAGTTGCTCGTAGATTTGCATAAACTCAGAGGACAGAACACAAAAACTACTTGACAGGAAAATGAGTCAGAGGGCCAAGATCAAGCATGACAAGAGTAAATGGTAAATGCAAAATTGTATGAATTTGGGTAAGAACAAAAATGAAAAGGCAGAAGTTGTGTCAAAATTTATTCACCTTTCCATCCCAAGACAAGGAGGTCTTCTGATTATATGTTCCAGTGTAAGAATTTCTCTTGTAGCCAGATACTCTAATACCTGAAGGCAAACATCAATCAGGATGACTGTAATAGGTTGACTTTCTCAGAAAGCCGGGTAATCAAAAGCTCGAGTTTCCGGAAAAAAAAAGCATATCGTATAAAATACCTAGAGATTTTCATCCATGTGGTCACTAGAAAAACCTTTCTAAATTTAGATGTCACACAGATGAGACTGAACGAAAAATTAAACTCAAAATAACTTTGTAAACAGAACTTCCCCAGATGTTGGAGCTATTCTAAAGCAACATGACACGAAGACACTTTGACATAACTGATCTGCAAAAGTCATCCAATTGTAACATCCTAATCACAGAAGTAGGGTTAAGAGAAATGTACCTTCAGAAGTTTCCTGAGTATTGGAGTCTTTTTAAAATCCCGTCGATATTGCTTCATGATATTATGTAGCATTTGCAGACCTGGATTAAAACCAATGGACGTTCTTTAGTGCTCACCAGAGAATAAAATTCGTTGCTTTTGCAATGACACAAGAAGAAAGATGTGGGCATGAAACAAAGAAAGGACAATGTACCATTTTTGTTGATTACATCCATCAAAACAGACCGTGACTTCGTCTTCAAAAGGGCATCGAGAATCATTGAAAGATCTCGGTTACTGCAACACATGAAAAATCCGAACTCAAGACTCCAAGAACAGAGTAGAAAAAATCAGCAATGGGATCTAAGGATAAGCAAGCAAGAAATCTTAAAACCTTTGGATTCCTTCATTGCTGGCATTGCCTCGGGAAGCTGCTGTGAGAAGCAGAAGTTTCAAGTAGCCTTTTGTTGAATCCTATCCCAACAAAAAAAAAATCTTAGACATCTGAAATGCACTGTGACATTGATGGACAAAGTGAAAATATGAGAGAGAATCAAGCTAAGGTTGTAAGTTTCAGCAAAGTAAAACGATAGGATGTTTTGTTTTTATAGCCAAATGACCAAAATTTGCTTGAGGTCCCGAGCTTATAGCAAGAAAATCACAAGATGAAAAAAGAAGATTTCCAATGTATCTAAATACTGATAACGCTTAATGCTACTTACCTTCCGCTTGCTGATTCCCCCCTCAGTGTCCAGTAATTCGTTCAGTTTCCCCTCGACTGCACAGTTGATGGAGGGTGTCAGAAAATCAACTTAATGGATGGTATTTTAGCTACTCTCACATCTAAGAATGCTACATACATGTTTCAATCTGCCCGCTAGGGGAAGCTTGCTCTGATCCTTTAGATTTCACAGGCTGCTGTTGCAACCTATTGGCTGGTATAATCTGTGTCTTTGTTAGACTGGGACGATTACTTCCTTTATCTCGCTTACTAGAACCAGCTGAACGAGAAGTTTTCAATAGAGGACAAGATCTTGGAAACATCTTCTTATCTTCTACTGAACCATGCTTGGACTTTTTATCAGCTTCTGTACTGTCAGCGGACAGCTTGCTAACAGAAACAGAAGTGGAAGTTGTACTGATACTTTCCCCTTCAACAGAAACCTTCTGCTGCACAGCAGGTACAAATATGGCAGCAGTATGTTCCTTGGAGACATCACTTGGCTGAAGAGTTGGAAGGATCTCCCTTTGCAAAGGTTCTATGGATACTTCATGAGCATGGTCCTTGGAACCATTGACCTTTGCCAGGTTACGCGGAATTTGTACTTCAGCGCCATCGATGGAGATCCTAGATGTTACATCTAAGATGCCATCCCCAATTTCATCATCTTCAAGAATTATAGGTTCAAAAGATTCTTCATCTGAATCACTTTGAACGACTACATCACCATTCAGAGGATCACCCCCGATATAACCTCGGCAATGCGATGATCCACAATAGCACTTTTTGGCAGCAGCTCCAAATACCCTTACATAGTTGTAGTCAAATGTCACTTCTTCACCCTGGCAATGCACATGGACTGATTAGATGCTACTGGTAGGACAACAGCAACATGTTGACAAACCCCAATAGAAGTATAATAAATTATGGTAGAAACACCAACTGCTCAGTCAATATAAAGCTAAAAGGGAATGACACGCTTCCATTTCTTTTCCTTCACTTAAGATCACTGGTGAATTCACGGAATTAATAAATAATTTCATTTTACCCTTCCTGAGTTTTTCAACTGTACAGCCACAGCCCAAACACGATGGGAAAATGATCCATTGTGTAGAAATCCAAGATAACTTCAATGTATGTCCAGTTAGTTTTAAAAAAGAACATTGATTAGATTATAACACATAAATTGAAGATGCCAGAGGGGAACACACCTTCTTAATGTCTTGCAGGGAAAATATTCCAACACAAATTTCACCATTCACCATCCACTGCAATGAGTTTTAAGGAGTTAACAAATGGAAAAACATAACAAAGAAATAGAAGATCCAAAGACGAAAGAAAACGAAATACTAGTCATATCGCCTGAAATCCAGATTTTGCATTCAAGATTTCTCAGCTAGCGACATTGCAAGAAGCTTCACAAACAATTCTCAGTTCTATACCTTAAGCATGCCGCGAAAAAAATATCATAAATGATTTACCTTCTCTGTACGGCAGTTTGGTTCACAACTATGATTAATGAAACGCCCTAAATTTCCCTTGGAACCAGCATCTATTACCTGGAGATGGAGAGCAAAGAAACATGAAACAGATGACTAGAAAGAATAATAATAAAAATGAAGTAATACCAAGGAATATGTTTATTGTGCAAAACATCTAGACAAGTTAGAGATTATGGTAAGAGACACTTTTATGCAGAGGCCAAAATTCATGGATCATTTCAATCAAAGATGATGAAGAAGTAAATAAACCTCATTCCCATTCAGCGTCATGAAATAGAAATGCTTCTGACCCTTGGCAGCATAATCCTTCTGGCGAGCCTCATAAGCTTGCAAATCAAGCACCTATTAAACAAAGTAGACAGGTCAATATGGGTTTCACTGATTGGTTCATGCATTGTTTTGTTGTACGTATGACCGAAACACACTAGCAAGAGGATAAATGTGGAGGGAGATAAAGCCAGTCAACAACTAGTCATATCCTCCAAATGTAAAGAACATTGAAAATCGAGATTGTTTTTCAAGATACCTCTCCAACATATTCGATAAGGAACTGTCCTTTGCGTACATCATCAAGCAATCTCAGGCCATAACCCTTCTTACCGGACTGGAATCTCTCAAATTTAACATACTTCCGTTTTTGTAACTGCAAAATCATATGAGCCCACAGAATAAAGAAAATAGAATTTGCTACGAAAATAACATGCTCACATGCATACAAAACATATTACCTGCTGGTTTGAGCAGAAATCTCCACAGGGACAGGTACCTTGAACACATTCAATGTTAAGCATTCTATTGAGACATTCCTCACCACAACCCAACCGGCCATCAGGAGGCGGTCTACAGTGACAAACCATTATCTGCTTGAAAGAAGTGATGCATATTAATAAGGAAACACAAAAACTGAGTATTCATATGATAGATGGGCAATATTATGAGAACAAGGGATAATACATGCTTCATTATTGCCAAAAAAAAAAAAAAAAACTCATGAATCCAACCTCATCGATTGTTTGAGTTTTACGGTTACGATGAAGAAACTGGTTTGTTTTTATAGCCTTGAAGCATGCCTTTTGGTTACCTTCAAAAATTATGGGCAAGAAAGCATCATTCCAAAAGTCAACAAGATGAAACAGCAATAAAGACCACCAGGACATGCTACCCTAAATTACATTGGATTTTTATGTGAATTTCATCTACCTGACAATTGCTTGCACTTTTGACCCTTGCCCTTTTCCTTATTTGTCACATCACCATCGTATGCATCTGCTTCATCCTGTGTTATGCCCAACTCCGCGTTAATTTCTTCATTTGACATCTCTTGAGGAATTGAGCAATCAGCAAAATATTTATCCAAGTTGTTCATACAGATCCTTGAAACAAATAAAAGCCATATTAGATGTGACAATAACAAATTAATTGCTCAAGAGTACCTCCTAGAAAACATGCAAGAAGGAAAAGATTGAAGAGGGCTACAAAGAAAGTTGATACATATTAAATGAAAGGAAAAACAATCACAGCAAGCAAAAATATTTTACAAGACGACTAGGCATAGGAAGTCCAAATGCTATCCATCTAACATTGGTTAGAGAGGAACACAATTAAAGGCTCTAACCTAGAACAACTCATGGACCCAAAAAACATGTACTTAAGAACTTGAGGGATTGACAAGATAAGAACTGTTGGAACAAAATGGCAACAAACACATATTGTGGCTTACTCACATGTCAAGGTAAAGAAAATCACGAATAGAACTATACGATATCAGCTATTCAATTGGCAGTTTCATACAAACAATTTCTGTATGCAATATTGCAATACATACCATCTACTGTTCTCATCAATCATCCCTACTAGAGAAGCAGATATCCGTCGCCATTTGAAGCAATCATCACATAGAACCCAAGCACTATCTGTGGAAGCACTCTCCTCGATTGTTCTGCCCAAGATCATTTCCACATTGGTGATATCTGGTGACATGACACCATTAACAGCACTGGTTTTCACAGCATCTCTGTTGATCAGACAGCCTATTACATGAATTCACATATTGTATTGACTTAGTAATTCTGTACTAAAACATATGTAAAGGACGAGCCAGTATTTTTCTGTCATTTAGAAAGAGTTGAGAGATATAGAACGAGCCACAATTCTTACTGCTCAGAACAACAGGTACCTGTTGTCTCATGTGACTCTACACGCCCCATTTCATTGCAGCCACCCTCTTCCTTTTCGGTACGCAGATTAAGGGGTCCTTGTTTCTCTTCCCCCTCTCCAGATTCAATTCTTTCCCTGCTCTTGGAAGGTCCAGAAGTCTTGGAGTTCCCCTTCTTTGTTACATTACATTTTGAAGTTTTAGGAGCCCCTTTGCTCTTGGATCTGCCCTTGGATTTAGCCGACCCAAGCACCTTCTTGGAACTGTGTGATCCTCCTAACCGTAGATCGATACTTGGATGAGCGTCCTTGCAGCTCCCCAGTTCCAAACTCTCTTCCATGACTCCAAGTTCGGTCTCTCTTAGCAGAGAGTTCCGTTCAGCATAGAAGTCCTCCCTAAGATATGTATATGTTGAAGATTTTTCACACACAGGAGAAACAACATCCCCATCGTGAGAATCTTCTCTCTTTTTCTCTCCTTTTCGCTGGCTTTTTGGCTGTTTGGATTTGTATTGGCTGCCAATAAGAGGCAAACCATTTTTCACAAGAGATCTAGAAGCATTAAGGCTTTTGTCTTTCTTCAGTCCTTTGTTTTTGTCTTCCTTTCTGTTGATAGCATCTGCAGGAAGGGCAGATGCCTCAGGAATGCTCAAAACTGTATGGTGCAAGTCCCCTTGCTGTCCAGCACTGTCGATGGCATCAGGCACAGAATTGATAACTTCCGAATCTGGTGAGGTTTCAGCACCCATATAGTGGTTTTCAGATGCTTTTCTGCTCTCTTCAACCACTATACCCGAGGACAGGTCATCATCCATAGCATCTCCAGCCAGATTCTGACATATATCCTGAGCATCAAAGTCATCTCTCTCAAGCTTCACACCCACAAGAGAATCAGCTGGCTCCTCAACAGAAATGTTCTCAATTGGGATGTTATACCCTTCTGACTGTTTTCCGATTCCTGAAGCTTGCAGTTTCTCCTTGACACAGTTGGCTGACAGTGGAATTTCTAAACCAGCTCCTACCTTCCCATTGTCATTAGCAGATGAGGAGTTGTGAATGACCTCAGGAACTGTAACATTAAGAGGATTTAGAACACCCAATTTACCAAATTTGACCTTCAACCGAAGGCAACATCCACTTGACGTTTGACTTTTAATGTTAGATCCTTCTGGATGCCCATTACGGCAACTTTTACTAGGTTCAATATTTCCTCGATTGCTCTGAGATTTCTGTGATCCTTGATTTGAATGTTCGTCGAAGGGAAGATTGTTACTCTGCAAGAAAATTTTGGCAGTACAACTTGGTAATCCCCATTCAGAGGAACGAGCGGGTTTTGAAATACAGCTCCTCTTCTGCTTTGAACACTTGAAAATCGATTCAAAGCTTTTTTCTGGTTGCTTCTTTCTGGAGGATTTTTTTGGACGGGCTGCACTCTGTTTTGTTCGAGCCCTTTTACTCTGTTTACTGTTTCGGCCCTTTCTTCGAGAATAAGACATGACAGTCTCAGAACCATTACTTCCAGATGCAGAAGCAATTTCACCCCCTATTCTACCATTATTATCCATCTTTGTCAAACATTCAACTGTGTTGTCAGAATTAGGAACAACAAAGGTACCCTTTTCAGATTCTGATGGGAAATTCAGTTTCAGAGAAGACTCGGAGAGAGTATGACCAACTTCCGAGCCACGAGCATTTTCCTCTACAGGTGGCACCTGACTCAAAATCTCAGCTGTAGTATCAGTAGCCATATAATTATTATCTTTCAAAGCATCTGGAGCCTTGTCAGCTGAGAAATCCTCTGAAAGGTTCTCCAGCATTAGTTCACTCTTGTTAGGAAAATTACTATGAAGATCCGCCTCATGCAGCGGCTTCAAATCTGGAGTAATCGTCGTTGTAGCTTCGATGCCCTCGAGATCATATGCACTCGGATCACTGAAATTGCTATCATCCTCTTTAGTTTGACTAGACAACATGCGGGGTAAAACTACTGGAGGAGATATAGGGGTCTCCATAACGGCTCCTGTTTCACTTGACGCTTTCCAATCATTTTCTGCGGCACTACAGCTCAAACCTCCAGCGTACAATATTGAATCTGAAAGTGATTGATAACTTGGGACACAAGATGCATCATCAGAAGATGCGGCGACTTGATCACTCAAAAATGCATTTATCTCGTCCTTGATTCTTGCATCGGAGGCACAACTAATACCGCCACCACCAATTTCAACGTTGTCTGTGTCCTTTATGGATTCCAAAGCCTCACACTGTTTTTGTGCATCAGTTACAAACATATATTTAGTATCCGTTTCACTGCCCCCTGATGGCAATACTATACCACCAGATCCTTCATCTTCTTTAGTTTGTGGATCTGATTTTTCTGGAAAACCCTCAGAAGCGGCGGGCACAACAGAATAGTTCACATCCTGACTGTCCTTTCCATCTTCCTGCTCATTACAGTCTACTGGTACAACAGCTTCTCGTATGAATCTATGTGTTAGTTCAAGTTCCTTTAAGACAGGTTCTTGCTCCTGATGCTCGGTAGCTTTACTATGAAATGCATGACTATCATCTGAGCCTTCAGTAAGTGTTTCTGCTAAAGACTCGAGGCGATTCCCATCTTCCATTCGCTTAATCTCTCCGATGCACCTTCCATAAACCTCCGTCTTATGTTCTAAACATGAAGCAGTGTGGGATACCTCGGAAGGACTGACTGAATGTATACCATGCCTGGCAGAGTTCTCTTTCTCAGAGCACAGTCCACCTGCTTCTACTTTAAAAGTATCACATACAAAGCCCTCGCTATTTGGACTCACTCCAGGTTCTTCTTCTCCTGTATTCCTTCTCTCACGGGCAACCGAGCATAAGCTAACTCTCTTCAACCCATCATCTCTATCGATTTCAACAGTACCCATTACATGATCAGAGCCCATAACACAAGCATTCTCATCGGCCGAGTCAGAACCACGAGCATCTGGGGCAATAGAACCATATTCCTCGCAATCCATCAGAATGCCACCTGCATCAGAGCAAAAACCCTTATTAGAAAAAGGGTTACTCTGACAAATACGTGCAAAAAAGAGAAAAAAAACTGTTGGGCAATCACTCCATTCCATGCAATGAATTTTGGACCTTATCCATGGCATCGCTCAAGGACCCATCCCTGTTTCATCGGCAATCTAACAATATATCAAGCAATCACTACCCAAAACCACCCTAAAACACCCCCGACAAGGTCAACCATTAACCTAGCTCGACGCAACGGACACTTTAATCATCGCCATTGATAAAAACAAAAAACACCGACACCTCCAACCTTTACTTCGATTCAAGATAACGAGTCGGAGAAAACAGAAAGACACAAAATTCGAATAAAATCCTCAAATCGACAGTCCTGCGAATAAACGAAACCCTAATCTCATGAATCAGGAACAACGAATGCCGATGAAACAAAGCCAACAACCGGAAATAAAAAACGGGGAAAACCCTAGAGAAAACGTACCCGATTCGATTCAGAAGGCGGACAGAGGAAGGAATCCCAACCAAGAGAAATCCGAAGCAGAGAAGAGGCAATGTCATAAACAAAAACTATTGAAAAAAAAAAAAGCTTGTTGACGTTGAAGAACTAAACGAGGCGTTCTCCCTGAGATTACCGACCCTTTTTTCCTTCACACCCTTTTCCCCTTTTTCCCCTCGTATTGATTTTTTTTTGTTGTAATCTCCACGAGAGAGAGAGAGAGAGAGAGAGAGAGAGAGAGAGAGAGAGAGGTTTTCTATTGGATTTGGGCTTTTGATTCCAATTCCACCGTTGTATTTTTAACAAATGAAAGCAAGAGTGAAAACCAATGTTTCCCCGATATTGAAAAATAATTTTCTTCCCTTAAAGCTAAATCCTTTTTACACATTCATAAGGGAAAAAAATGGGAGCTTTTTTTACAATAAGATAAATAATTTTATATGATGCGTTGTGGATTGAGAATTTTACCCTCCAAAGCTAACTTTTTACATATTCCATTAAAAAAACAGAGATTTTTACAGTGAGAGAAAGAATTACATAAGATACGCTGTGGAGAAATCATATGCCATTTATATATATATCTATATGTGTGTGTGTGTGATGGTAAGGAGGAGCCTCATACTTTTGTTTAATTTAATTAAATAATCACTCAGTAGGTATAATCATATATGATCCATTTTGTGTAGAATTATATGCCACTCTACTTTTATTTGTGTGTATATATATTACATAACTGAATTAAATTACAAAAGCATTAGATTCAGTTTCACATATATATATATATATATATATATATATATGTTATGATGATAATGAGCCTAATACTTTTGTAATTTAATTGAGTTGAAGTAGTTAAATAATCATCCGGTAGGTGTATAACTTGGAGTTGGGTGAATGCTTTGGTCAATGTAATCACTTTCATTATACAATTTGGACCCACACGGCTTTCAATCATAGTAAGCTAACATAGTTTTTTTTTTCCCATATAACCAAAAAATATCCCTCAATGAGGCATTTTTTTATTTATAAAAAGCTCAATGATGCACTTGCATCATCATACATCACACTTCCAAACTATCCATCATATTAGGGTTTCATTTTTTTGGTTAAATCTTTTCAGACTTCTCGAATCGGACTATCCAATGCCGGTTCGTATGAATTAGGTATCGGAATTTGAATATATGCGGGGTGGAATGAACGTTCGGGTATGCACGAGATTACCGATCGACGAGAACAAATGGGTGAAGACGGAGCAATGAGATGACAAGCTAAATGGGATGAGGTGAGAGGGCAAAAGAGAGAAGTGCCCGAGAACGAGCAACGAGACACGATGAGAATGGATACATAAAGGGGTGATGAGGACGAACAACGAGATGAATAACTGATGAAACTAGGTAAAAATCGTGAAATTTTGATTTTTGACAAAATTTGATTTTGAAAACCCTGATACCTAATGAAAAGAGAAAATCTCAATACCCTAATCATTTGTTGTCTTTTGTGACCTCACATTTACCAATCGTTCTAAGTTACTTTTTCTCATCGACTCAACTTCTCTATCTTATTAGTTTGTATTATACAAATAATTCACCTCGGAAAATTTGGATTTGAATCCATAATTCATATTCTTGCCGACAAAAATTCTATACTTTTCCACCAATAGATAAAGGATAACCCAATACGAAAAGTTTCAAGTTAAATAGAAGTATATAAAGAAGGATCCACCCCAAAAAGTTTATTATATAGATAGACCTTATCTTATACAATTTTTTTTTAATAAGAAACTGTTTACATGACTCGAACCCATGATCTATATATTACATAACACCTTCAATCGATGCGTTAAAGCTATCCTTTGCCGACAGATGAGTATCCGAAATTTCTTCGACTATTAGGTCGGGCGGGTACAAGCTATTTCGGTTAACCGTATCCAACCCTAATTTTGTATCTGAAATTGGCTTTTAAAGTATCGAATGATTCAACGGTTATGCCATTGTCAAGTCGGAAATGGTGGAGGATTTTTTTTAAATGCGACCGGAGTTCGTAGGGGTAGATTCATGGGCTAGCCTATGATGGGCCTCAGACAATAACAGTCTGGCCCGTATAAAATGGCGGGCTAAATTGGACCGGACTATACCAGCCCAGCCCATTCTAACCGCTCCCACTTTTTTTTGCTTCTTATAATATTCGCTCTTTTTTTTTTTGTTTTCTTATATTCAATTTTAGGTTTTGACAAAATCTTAAAAATAAAAGCTCCCAAAACTATTTTTTTCTCGTATAAGTACATCGAATATTTAGAAAAATTACATAACTATATGAGTTTCTAAAATGTTACAAGATTTTGAACAAAATAACAACATTTGATGATTAAAGTATTTATATTTATAAAATAAGAACGTTCAATAAATGACGATATCTATATTTAAATTTTTTACTAAATATTAGATATGTTAAAATATTTGAATTTTTTAAAAATTATATATATCTTAAAGCATTTTTCTTTAATTTAAAATTTGAAAAATGAAAATCCGTCCGAATCATCACGATATTCAAAAACCTATTTAAATTCAAACAATTTTTTATTCAATTGGAAATTAATTATTGAAATTCCTTCCAATATTAATGGAATCAAAAGACCAATAATAGTATGGAAATTAAATATTTGTATTAGTATTATTAATACCTACCTATTGTAAATGTTTTTTTTTTTATAATAAAGAAGTAATATAAATATGTCCATAAATGGAAGATCAAGAGTCGAGAGGAAGTCTTTTTGTTATCCCGCGCAACGGTCTTCTGTAGCTCTCTCACCATTGCTTCAATCTCTCTCTCTCTCTCTCTCTCTCTCTCTCTCTCTCTCTCAAATTCTCCGATCTCCACTCCTGATTCGTGCCCTAATCTGGCCGTCTCCGGCGATTCTCAACCAGATATCCGGAAAGACCCGATTCATCAATGTCGGAACCCAAGGCCACGAGTGGCGGTTCCACTCATGGAGAATCCAATAGGGCTTCGCAGAAGGTCGTCACCGTCGGCGACCGGAAATTGTTCTATGTGGAGGTCCGTCCTGGAGAGACGACGTATGTATCATGGAAGAAGTTCATGAAGGAGGCATGCAAAGTCAATGGCTCCTCTACGTCGGTACCCGAACCGCCTCCTAGCGCTAACCCTAATCTCGAGTGCTTGGTACCGGTGAGTTGTAGCTTTAATACCCATGCATACGTTTAGATATACCTATGGGTTTTTGCTTGTGTTCGGTGCTTCTCTATCTCTGTCGGGTCGATTTGTTACCTTCGTGTCTGGGAACTGTAATTTGTTTCGAGTGGTTGTTAGGGTTTTACCTGGTAGACTTAATTGTCTAATCGGAATGATCAGATTCGTTTGTTTGGTTCTGGGAAAATGTTTGGAAAGATTTAAGGTATGGATATGGAGGTAGGCAGAATTAAGTTGTGATTGCTGTTTGACATTGATTTTGCAACTAGGGTTTTGACAGAAAGATTATTGGAACTGACCCAATGACTAGGAAGCTGCGTGTTGGTCCTTTTTTCTCATACTTGTATCTTCTATGTTAAACATGTAGAGGTTTCAGTGGGTCTTGATTTGATTGGTAATCGAGGTTGAGGTCAGACAGATGGTGTGGTTGCCTTCTATAGCTACATGTATCCTCGTCCTTCATAATGTGATTATACCATTAATTATCATAGTTTATATAGAAAGCAATATCATAGCAGTTACAGAATGCAATTTTGAAGTTGAACTACTCGTTGACCAGAGTTGAGGTTTGATAGGTGCTGCGGTCAGCTGCTATAACTATATTGGTAAGGCCTCATCGTTAATAACTTGAATATGCCATCACTTACTGTTATTGATCTAGAAAGGAATATCATAGTGGTGACATGCTACAGTTGAATAGGTCAAAGATTATGACTTTTGATAATTTTATTATTCTATAAGCATCTCCTATCACATGAAAATTGGGCTTCCTTGAGCGCTGGGTGGTGTAACTTTTAATTTAGGATGGTTTCTGGCTTTCTTGCTTTCTATTTTTTTTTATCTTCGTTCAATGGAGCAGATCGTTTTCTACATCTCTACTGCTATTATCCAATGTAGGGTCACCCAGCAGAAAATGAAAAGGTTGACCAGCCTAATCGTTTTAGCGCTGTTATTGAGAAGATTGAGAGACTATATATGGTACGCTACCGTTGTCTCTTTGTTGATACTGGTTAGAGGATCATTGAAGTTGTAATACCCAAACATATTTGCACAGCACCATGGCATCAATAAATTTCGTAACAATGTATACTTACATTGGAAAGATAATTCTCAGGGAAAAGATAGCAGTGATGGGGAAGAATTAGATAGTTCCCCGGATGATGATGAGTATGACACCGAGGATTCATTTATCGATGATGCTGAACTGGTTAGTCTAGATGTCTTTCATTTGCTATTTTATTTCTTTTAATGCGGCATTTTTTTCTTGATAGTTGATACATCATATCTTTGTTTCTGGTTCTACTCTTATGCAGGATGAGTATTTTGAAGTTGATAATTCAGCAGTTAAACATGATGGATTTTTTGTCAATAGAGGAAAATTGGAGAGGATGTGAGTTTCCTGTTGCCCTTTTGTTGCATCTTGTCACATATCTATATCATGGCTTTGCTCGTTGATGTTTACTTAGGTCTTGCGGAGAATGGAGAATAGGTAGCATATTATCAAAACATTTCAGTGGCCTCATGTAAAAAAATTTCAGCTGGCTTTCTTCACCGATTCTGTCATATGTTGCTTTTCCAATGGTAGGAATGCTAGATATTTTACTCGATATTCTTGCTTTCGCAATTAATTTATATGGTTAAAATTTATCAGTCAAATCGACTTTTTCAATGAGTACTGTGTTCTGTCCATGTAGGTTCTGATTTATCATGAGATGGTGAGTTGTTAATTTCTCGTATACCAGTTTAAATAAACCCTGGCTCCTTTTTCCAGCAGTGAACCTTCAGCAACATCCAACCAGCAGTTGAAGAAAAGGCGAAGAAAAGAGTCAGCAAAACCTGGCGGTGGCGTTACTGATGTGCCGAATAAACAAGCCAAGGTGGCTAAGATGGCAAGGGGAAAAGTAAGAGCTTTGTTTTTCAAAGAACTAATTGAATCCTTAGTTTAAAAAAGCACGAGGCATCTCAAGGCGCCAAAGGTCTAAAAAACCGAGGCGCAAGGCGAAGGCGCGTGCCTCATGTGTGTGAGGTGCATAAACAATTTTCCATATAAAAATGGATCAAACTAAAATTTAACAAAATAAATTGAAATTGAAACATAAATTATAACTAATGTATATGTGTATACTAAAATCTATATGTTTTTTTACATTTTCAAATTTTATACAACCTATATGCATGTTTACCTTTTTTTTTTCTTATTTTATCTTTACGGTGGTTTTATCATTTTTTTAATATTGAAACAATTTTATTATGCATTTAACAGAATTTAAATGCACATTAAAGTTTGTTCATCTTCCTCACTTCCTAGAGGCGTCCGTTTTTGCACATGATGTGAAAATTAAAGCGCTTCAGCGCTTTTGCGCCTCAAGCGCAAGTGATGCGCGCTTTTTTAATCCAAGATTGAATCCTTTGGCGAGAGTTTAATATTGGTTGCCGAATATGTTCATGTGAATGTCCAGGATCGGTCAAAGCATTCGGGGCAATCATCGAAAAAAAGGTCTAATGATCCAAAGGCAGCACAAGATTCTTTTTCATCTTTTAGAGTCCAGAGTGTCAATGCTTCCTTACCTCTGGAAGATACAAAGTATTCCGATAAAACAAATCATGAGTTGAAAAATGCCGCAAGTCGCAAGGCAAAGGAAGTTGGGTCTTCTGATGCATTTCCTCAGAAGTGCCGCAGCAAAATTGCTCATCAACAATCTAATGCCATGCCTGTAAAATCTCCGCACAATCATGTGGCAGAAGCAGCATGTACTAAGAAAGAGAAGAATGACATGCATGACCTGGCAAATGCAACAGGAAGCAGACACTCTATTCAAAAGGCTGTAAGTATTCCCCAATTATGCTAAGTGAATAGAAATCCCTCATTTTAGTTGGTCAAGTGTTGTAAAGTTAACATCCTGATGTCTCTAAGAATGAGGATTCTATAATCACAAAGATATTAGAACTTTGTGAGAGAGATCAGGCATCACATATCGTTTATTTCTCTTTCCTGTAATTAGCATCCATTTAAGCCGTAGTTTTCTTGCTTCAGTTTTCATCTGTAATCTGTGTTTATCTTCTTGGCTAACTTATTGCTGTTTTCTTTTCCTCAAAACCTTTCATCAACTTTATCTACTCAATCTGCAGAGACCTTTCTCAGCTCAGAAAAAAGATAGTTCTAATGTGAGGCCTAAAACCTCATTGCTTGATAAAGCTATCAGGGAATTGGAGAAGGTGGTTGCGGACTGTGAGTTCCTATCTCTTTATGATGCAAGCACACATACACAAACGTATACGTATTCATATTACCCTCATGGATGACAACCTGGCTAGCATACTATTTGCAGATTTTAATTTAATTATTATTACTATTTTATTGCAGCAAGGCCTGAGAACCAAGAAGCTGATACCACATCTCAGGGTGTTAAGAGGAGATTGCCAAAAGAAGTAAAAGCGAAGCTTGATAAAGTCGCTAGAATAGTGGTAGGAGATCTCATCTATTCTTCTTTTCGTTGGAAACTTGGAAAGAACTGTTCAAATTTTCTTCCTTGAGGCAGGCAAAAGAAGGAAAACTTTCAGCGGAGTTAATCAATCGCCTTATGAGCATTGTCGGTCACCTAATACAGCTTAGATCACTTAAGGTTAAGTTTCATATCTCTTGGATATCGACACTTTTCTGAAACATAGTTGTTGGGCTTTCTTCCAAGGCCATGAAATTGATCGATTCTGTCAAGTTTCAGTTGATAACACTGCCGTTTTCAGAAGAAAACTAACAGGGTATATGGTTTTCTTAGAGCAAGATATAAATTTCTTACAGTTTTGTTATGCTTATTCTTACAGAGGAACTTGAAAATCATGATCGATGAAAGCTTGTCCTTTAACCGGAAGAGAGATGATAGATTCCAAGGCATCAAGAAAGAAGTTGCTGAGATGATAAAGACACAAGTGCCTTTGATGGAATCCCAGGTTCTTTCTACGATACTGTTCTAGTTGGCCCCAGTTTAATATCTTAGACATCTTTTGTCCTATTTTTGTCATAAGCACTTCTATTTCATCTATATCAATGAATTTAGTTATCTTGCAAGAAGCCAATTCTGGTATCTGTTTTCAGCGCCCCTCATCGAATTAATCCTCTCTTTGTGATTTAGCTCCCCTTTCAATTGACCGTTGATTAATCATCATTTCACAGACAGACGAACAACAAGCTGCTGGAACATCCTCCGATTTCCATGATGATGCCGCTGTTGAAAAAGCACCACTAAAGAAGAAGTTTGTCATGGATGCCAGATTGGAGGACAAGATTTGTGATCTATATGATATCTTTGTTGATGTAATGAAAAACATACATTTCAACAATCTGCCATGAAAATGTTTTGGGATTATTAGATCGATATTTATGCTTTTCAATTCTTATTTTTGGATATACTAGGGATTGGATGAAGATGCAGGTCCACAGATCAGAAAGCTGTATGTAGAGGTATAGTTAATTCTCTATTTCTTGCTCTTGCAATCATGTAACATGTTCTTGTCTCTTTTTTTTTCCGAGTCCTATTCATGATTTAGATCACTGGAACTATAGATATTTACCCTAAATTCTAAGATGATTTCACTGACATCTTTTCTGGATATGTTCATGCTTCAGTTGGCAGAACTATGGCCCGACCGGTTAATGGACAATCACGGGATCAAACGTGCCATTTGCCGAGCGAAAGAGAGGCGTAGAGCATCGTATGTAAGAATTTCTCAACTTTTACTTCATACTCTTGGGATTTTCTTGGATTCGTCTTGATGTTTTTGTTGTTTTCCTTTTCGATATTCCCCATGCCTCTCTTAAAGAACATGGAGAATATGAAGAAGATGAAGCAACAGTCGGTACAGATATCTGTGCCGGCTGTTGGGTCTGGCATAGCTACTGTTGATCCGAGCGCAAGCCCAGGTCTGCCCGACTCATCTATGCCCGACGCTTCCCACGACAGAACAAAGCAAGAGCCCGAGAAGCTAAGGGTAAGTACGAGCTCTAGCAATCCGACTGAAGAAGAAACAAAGGCGGTCAAAAGAAAAGCCGCGCCAAAGTCAGAAGCGGTTCGAGAAGAGTATCGTCCGTCCCGAGAGAAGCAACTCATTCTTGCCCTACCGCCTCCACAGACACAGACCACGCTCGATCTGAACCAGTCAAGTTGACAGTGATCTCTTCCTCCTCTGAGGTTGTTCTTGAAGAAAACCGGCTGAGATTTTCCCGTGACAATATCTCGAAAAACCCGGCAGTGATTTTCCAGCGACAGTGCCCGAGGTTGTCTTGAGAAACCGGTCAGAGATTTGCCGGAGGCAACAATCCGATTGTCTCTTTCATCCTCCTTCCTCCCTTTGCAGGTCGTACGGAATTAGTAGTAGTTAAGGCAGTAAGCCTATCTTTAGAAGTTGCCTTTGCTCTAATTTAGTTTTTTTTTTAATATTTTTATATACGAAATAATATTTCCTAGTTTTTCTATGCTTAATTTTTAGATATCTAGTGCCACTTTCCTGTGTACAAAACATATCCATGGCACATAATAAAATGAATAGTTATTGTATTTGTTGTTTTTATATGTAAAACAGTTATGAATCGAGTGTTGTATTGTTTTTATAATATGGTTTTTAATTTTGGTAAATAATATAATTAGTTGGTCTGTAACTTAACCCGATCTGACAGATCCCCCCATCGTAAATATACATTTATTATTTACATCGCGAGGCTCTTCTTAATGATTTCATATATCAGAAATCTCTCTCTCTCTCTCTCCGGTTTCCATCTCAAATCCCGGAGCCCTGAATTGTCTCTGTCGGATAATCGTCGTCGTCGTCGTCGGCGTCTACTACTCCTATTGAGCACCTTCCATGGCTGCTGCTTAGACGTCGCTTTCACCGATCTCTCATCTCTCCCTTTTCTTCGTCTTCATCGAGGTTCCTGTGTATGGTTTCCCTGACTATCTCGGATTTTGCTGGGAGGCCCTTTTGCGTTAGGGTTTTGTTTCGCTTCTGGTCGCGGAGATTGGATCCTGCTCTTCGGTGCTTATGAGGCTGGGGATTTCTTGACACTGCTTTCCGCTGGTGGATTTGGATTGATCTTATTTGAATTCGCGAAATGGCGGCGCCCAGACCCACCGGAGGCGAAGATCTGTTCGATGCGTATTTCAGGAGGGCAGATTTGGATGGTGATGGTCACATCAGTGGAGCTGAGGCTGTTGCTTTCTTCCAGGGCTCGAATCTACCCAAACACGTCCTCGCTCAGGTCCTCTCCCTGATTCTTCCTCTATTTCATTTGCTATTTATCTGGATATATTTGAAAATAATGCAAAATATAGATGATTCTTTTGGGTTTTGGAATTTTCGCTGGATCTTTGATCTGTGGGATCGTTGGTAGGAAACGCTATGTATTTACTTGTATTCGGTCTCTGCTGAATTGCTTCGAGGAGGGTCTTCTGTTTTCACTCTGGGGTCTCTTGTTGATGCAATTCGAGTGAAGATCCCAGTTCAATCTGAACATGTTTGCTGTTGAGATTGCAAATAACTGTTATGTACTAGCTAGTGTAGAATGGATGTACGGCTGAAGGTTATGGTACTCTGTTTGTGCTGCAGTTGTTAAGCTGTAAGGTCTTGAATGGATTTCAACGGGTGATATGATTGAACTGTAAAGGATAACGCAGTGTTTTCTTAGAAATATGCATAAGACTCATGGTTTATCTATTGGAGAATGTAAATTGAGTTCACAATATCACAAATGTGATAGATTAGCGATTCTAAATATTAACTATGGAAGAAAGTTTTGAGGGAGAGTATTGAGTGCATCTGGAAGATTCTTCTTCTGTAAATATAAATCTTCAGCGACTCACTGGAGTTAAAGCTGGCTTTGGATCCCTGTCATATACTAGAAGCATTCTTTGGATCATCTGCTAAATTTTTTTATTTTCCCTTGTAGGTATGGGCATACGCTGATTCAAAGAAAGCTGGCTACCTTGGTCGAGGTGAGTTTTATAATGCTCTAAAATTGGTAACTGTGGCACAAAGTAAACGGGAGTTAACCCCAGAGATAGTCAAGGCAGCACTCTACAGTCCAGCTTCAGCCAATATTCCTGCTCCCAAAATAAATCTTGCTGCAACGCCTTCTCCACAGCCCAGGGCAGGTGTGCCTGTTACACAGGCTACTGGCGTTGCATCACTACCACCATCGAGTGCTGGGATTAGAGGGACGCAAATTGGTGGAAACATAAGCACTAACAACCAGCAAGCAGTCTCGAGCCAGCAATTTCCGGGACCTCCACAAACCACTATCCACACTGCTCCTTCTCAACCACAGCAAAACCTTCGAATTCAAGGTATGCCAACAGGAGGGAGTAGTGCACCTCGTCCTGTAATTCAACCCTTGTCATCTGATTGGCTGAATGGGAGGACAGTTAGTCCTTTGGGGCAAGTGAATTCGCAAGTTCCTCCGGGTCCCAATACTTATGGTTTAACACCACCTAACTCGACAGTCGGCCCTCAACCAAGACCACATATGACATCTGGGGCTATGACAGCCAAACCCCAGGAGTTAGTTGCTTCGCACAGACCCCAAGGTTCATCTGCACCTCCAGTTACTCATGCTCCAGGTCCTCCATCCAACCTCTCTGTATCGGGAAATGGTTCTGCCTCTGATTCACTATTTGGAGATGTCTTTTCAGTTGCTGTTTCGCAGCCAAAGCAGCAGTCAACTATGGCTACGCCATCAATGAGCAGCTCATCTGTTCCCGCTGGAACTGTTGTGGCTTCTCAAGGTGGTGCACAACCTGTAGTTACACAAAATTCAGTTCAACCACAGGGTCAGCAACCTGTTGGAGTCCAGAATCAGTTTACCGGGAAACCAGGGCTTCAGTTTACCCCCTCTGGTGCAGCTTCTGGTCCTGCTAGCTCTCCTAGTGGAGCTGGAAATTCATCTCCTAGTCAGGTGACTCAGCCCCAGGCCCCTTGGCCAAAGATGATGCCAGCTGATGTCCAAAAATATGCTAAGGTGTTTGTGCAAGTTGACACTGATAGAGATGGGAAGATCACGGGGCACCAGGCACGGAATCTGTTCTTGAGTTGGAAGCTCCCACGAGGTACTACAGCTATTTTGTATATGTTTATGTGATATCTTGACAGAGTAGAAGTAGTAAATTTTGTTTGGACACTTTTTTATCATCTTCGTGTGATTTCTAGTGCATGATTCATAAGTATTGCGTGTTTGGTTTCATATGTGTTCTATTCAATGGTAATCGTAGAGCGAGTTCTCTTGGGGACTAAATGTGGAATATTCGGAGAGAATTATTGGAAGTTCTCTTTGCGTTTTTGTCATAATGAGTGTCACTGGTGTTTCAGAGATCTTGAAGCAGATTTGGGATTTGTCTGATCAAGATAATGATAGCATGCTCTCCTTGAGGGAGTTCTGTATTGCTGTCTATCTTATGGAGCGTTATAGGGAGGGTCGCCCTCTTCCACCAGTACTTCCCAGCACTGTAATAACTAATGAGAACATGTTTTCTGCTCCTGGTCAACCTGTGGCACAGTATGGCAATGCTTCATATGGAGCTGCGCGTGGTATCACATTACTCAGAACCTTTTCCATTTGTTTTGCTTTAGTTGTCTGTTACTGCCAGATGTACTTAAGATAAACTGTTGTAGGTTTGCAACAGCAACAAGTTCCTGGCGCTGCTAGACCACCGCCTATTCCAAAGGGAAAACCACCAAGGCCTGTTCCTGCTTCTCATAGTGATGGAACTGCTGAGCCCACTCCACCAAAGCGTAAAGTACCAGTGTTGGAAAAACATCTGGTTGACCAGCTTAGCAAAGAGGAACAGGGTTCACTGAACTCAAAGTTCGAAGAAGCAGTCACTGTTGATAATAAGGCACTCTCCAGCTTCTCTCTGATTTTGATGTGCTAATGTTGTGCATTTGTTTGTTTCTTTGGGAGTTTTTATTTTTATTTTTGAAGTTTTCTTCTCTTTTGTCTACATGTGTTAATGTCACAAGGAACCAGGTGGGTTCAGATTCAGAGGGTCATATTTGAGTTTAAAAGCCTCCAAAAATTTCAACTTATATAGGCAATAAATCAGTATCCAACTTCGTTGGCATGGAAGTATAGACTGAGAACTCTACATGGTTTCTCTCTGTTTCCACTTTATTTTGTAGCTTCTCCCCTGCATGATAAATCTGTGTTGCGTTTGTGGTGTAGTCGATCATCTGTGTATCTGTATTGGTATAACCTAGAGACCTTTTGTATGTGAACAATTTTTTCTTCTTTGTTTTCTAGGTTGAAGAACTTGAAAAAGAAATAGCTGACTCCAAGCAGAAAATTGAGTTCTTCAGAGCAAAGATGCAGGAACTTGTGAGTATCCCTGGTTATTCTTCTTCTTTCGAGGTTTTCAATTCTGTTTGTTAGGAATTACTACTTTGTAAAACTTAAGCAGAGGAAAAACTTGGCTCGGGGATCATATATTTTCATATTGATTGCCCAATTAAACTGTTCGTAAAAGAAGTTCTTGGGATGCGATATCAGCTGAATATATTTTCTGTTTAATAGTTTATCATTTTGTAGGTTTGTATATTATTAATATTGTAGAAAATGGCTACCAATCATTTTATATACCTTTTTCTTTTTGGAGTTCGTTATAAATCTTGCACTTTAGGCTGTTTTTTCTATTCTATATCAACCTCTATGTATGATTTACTTCCAGTTCTGTATCAATCTCTGTTACATTGTTTCATATGACCAGCTCTGTGACTGTTACAACCGGAGCTTTAGCAAAGACCTGGGTCCTCATTTATGCTATAAGTTCTTGTTACATTTGTGGTAATGTCAGACAACAGTTACCTGAACTATATACCATATACCTGCATTTAAGTTTGTTGAACAAGTGTCGTGTACAGTGGTCAGTTTTGTTTTTCTTTTACTTTTTGTTATCACTCTAGCTCGTTTATATTTGTGACTATTTGAAGCAATCTGGATTCCTACTGCATGTTGTGTTGGAACTTGGAAGTAATTTTTTAATCCTTCTGATTGCAATTCTTGGGATTGGTATGCAACTTGCTTCCTTTTTATGAAGCAGTGGTATCTGTTTCAGCGGAAATGTAGTTGTTCTTCGTTTTTCTTTTTCTTAAATATTTTTTTAATCTATTCCACTGGATCCTCGGGTGTTAGGTTTTGTACAAGAGCAGATGTGACAATCGGTTCAATGAGATTACAGAAAGGGTGTCTGCTGATAAACGCGAGGTACTTGGACAATTTTTGTTTTTGTTGATGTTCTTCTGTAGTATTATCAAAATCTTAATTTAGCTAACACTAACCGACCTGTAATCCAGGTTGAAACTTTAGCTAAGAAATATGAAGAGAAGTACAAGCAATCTGGCAATGTAGGTTCTAAGTTGACCATAGAAGAAGCTACATTCCGTGATATACAGGTAATGGGTAATGAAAATGTTTCAGTTACGGAACATGGCCAATACTTTGAACTGCCGGCAAACTGTACCTCTCCTCCAAAAAGTGACGAGTGCCACATTGTTGCAGGAGAAGAAAATGGAACTGTATCAGGCAATAGTCAAATTCGAGGAAGGAAACCCTGATGATAGTGTTATAAAAGTAAGACATGAGCTATTTGGTTTGATTGTGTTTGGTTTATAGTTGCAGGTTGTTGATTGTTTTCTTGCAGGAGCGTACTGAACGCATCCAATCAGGTCTCGAAGAATTGGTTAAAAATTTGAATGAGCGCTGCAAACAATACGGATTGCGTGGAAAACCCACTTCCCTGGTTGAGCTCCCTTTCGGTATCGTTCTTCTCCAGTTTTTCCTCTCTGCTTACTCACTGCATTCTCTTGATCTATAACCGGAAATGTTCCTGTCTAGTAATATTGGAAAGCCTCCTTCTGTTTCCTTTTTTGTGATAAAAATTGTAGGTTATATATGCATTGTTGCTGTATGATAACGAATATACTTCTCCAATTGCTTTCACTGAAGGCTATTTAGTTCAGGGAATTGAATATATCTATCTATCTTGATCTATAATTGAATATATCTTTCTGTCTATATATATATTATTGCTGATTGGCTTAGATAAATCTGTCTGTGTAGCCATATGTGTAATGGTATTTGTTCCTTTTTGTTTGTATTAATGTGATTTGATCGTTCTTGCAGGCTGGCAACCTGGGATCCAAGAAGGTGCTGCTGATTGGGATGAAGATTGGGATAAGCTTGAGGAAGAAGGTAAACTTACTCGTTTAAATTCAGATTTTATTCTTCGACAAGGATAGTCAATAAGAATTATGAATCTAGCCCTTTTTTTAAAATTTAATTCCAGATTTTTTACCTTTTATCCATTTGTCCTGCACCTTTTTTGTCCTTCTCCGAAGTAATCTACGAGCAATGAGCCAATTTTTTTTTCTGGAATTCCAGGGTATGCCTTTGTCAAGGAGCTCACTCTCGATGTCCAAAATGTTGTAGCGCCACCAAAGGAAAAAACTCCGATCGATAGAAAAGAATCGATTTTCTCAGCGAAGGAAGGTTCAGATGTATCGCCAGTAAATGGCGACTCTAAGACCGAGAAAGTACCGAGCACTGGGGAAGATGATGATGCTGAAACAGAACCGATATCCGAGCAATCAGAAGCTAAAACACCTGAAAGTGGTGATCGACACAAAAATGGATTCCATGACGAGTCTGGTATTGCAAAGGGTATTGAAGCTGATGGTTCACCCATATCAAAAGACACGAGGAGGTCAGTTCTCAATCTTTGACCCATTTTTTTGTTGACTTTTTTCTTGGCATTGGGTACCATTCCATTCGTTTTTGTAGGAAATCTGCTGAAAGGAGGGAAAAGCCATAGTAGTTTTCTTGTTCCTCGAGAATGCGTATCTTGTTTATGTGTATTTACGTATCTCGTTCTTTTGTGTATTTACGTTTTTATTCGATTTTTCAGGGATCATGTCCATGATGATGATGGAGAATCTACTGCTTCTGCTGGTAAAACTTTTGAAGAACCTGGCTGGGGAAATTTTGACAGTCACTATGATACCGATTCAGTTTCAAGCTTCAAACTTGACACCGGAAAGGTAAAATTCATGGCCATCATTCTCTGCATTTGCTTGAAGCTCTCTTAGGTTCGGAATTTACTTTTTTGATGATATGCGCTTCGTTGTATGCTGAAAAATCTCCTATTCACCTACCTCTGCTTATTGTTAAAAATTGAATGACGTTAAAGGTTGTTCTGATTTGAATGTTCGTTCATTCCCATGCAGGACAAGGACATCGGGTTTGGATTTGGATTCGGATTTGATGACTTTAGCATAAAGCCAATAAAAACGGGTTCCACCAGCTCGGAAAACTTGTTCCCTGGGAAGATATCCATATTTTCCGATTCTGTCCCGAGCACCCCTGCTGACGCTGGCCTCGCCTTTCCTGGAAAACCTTCTTTGTTTGCTGATTCCGTCCCGAGCACGCCTGCCAATGCCACAACTTCGTTCACGGGCAAGAAATCGTCCTTCTTTGACGACTCTGTTCCAAGCACTCCTGCCTATGCGGGGAACATATTCCCTGAGAAGTCGTCGTTCTTCGATGACTCTGTCCCGAGCACCCCAGCTTACGCAGGGAACTTATTCCCAGAGAAGAAATCGTCGTTCTTCGATGATTCCGTCCCAAGCACACCTGCCTATTCCATGTCAGATTTTGGTGGAAAGCCATTTTCGTCCGAGACTCCTCGTTCCGACAACTTGTTCCCGGGCAGAAGCCCCTTCATGTTCGACTCTGTCCCAAGCACGCCCGCTCACAAATCTTCGGATGATTACTCTTTCAACACCTTCTCGCGGTTCGACTCGTTCAACTCTGCCGCTGGAGAAAACAACGTCGAGCCCGACCCTTTCGCCTCCTCGAGGTTCGATACTTTCGAGTATCAAAGGTACGATTCTTTCAACTCACAGGGCCTCGAATCCGGCCAGGAGAAGGGCGGGTTGGGTCAGAATCCGAAACCTTCGTTGGCGAGATTTGACTCAATCCAGAGCACGGGAGACTCAGATTACAGTCACGGATTCGGGTTCGATGACTCGGATCCATTCGGGTCGAGTGGACCGTTCAAATCGATGGCGGCCGAGACACCCAGGAGGAGTTCTGATCATTGGAACGCCTTCTAAGCTGGGGAGAGAGGTCGTCATCACATTTACATTACAATATATTCTCTATGCCATTATTATTATTATTATACATTTTAGTATCTGCTGTTTGCAGATCTCTATAGTTTTTTTTTTTAAAAAAAATGGGGAGGTTTCTTGCTTTTGATTTTTTTTTTTTAAATTGTTAATGATATGAAATATTGTTGTCCTTTTTTTCCCCCTTCTTGCCTTTGTTGCTTTCGAGAGTGTTTTCTCTTCTAGTTTGAGTTTGAGTGCATGTCTTGTAATGGTCTATCTCTGTTTTTTTTTGGTGGTGAGATGAATAATGATTTTTTCCAATGGGACACAATTTTATATTGTATCTGTGTAATTTTGGAGAAATTTCATCTCGTCTTGTATTAATTAGGAAAAGCAAGGAGACAAGGAAAAAAAATTCATGTTATTGTTAAATCGTATGAAACCTTATGTATATATATTTCATGTTATTGTTAAATTGTATTACTTGGTCCATTCTCTCATGATGGTTTGGGGTAACACAAGCTTTCATCTCTGGTTTTGGTTACTCCGCTAAGCATATTTTCTACTTCTTTTGGGTTTTCTGAGATGGCTGCTAGACTTTTTTTTTTGGTTATTTTGGCTTTTCACCAGATTTTGTAATGGTTGAAAAGCATTTGTAAAGAAAGTTATTGATGGAATGAAATCACTAACCCTTAATAAAAGAGTTTTGCCCTTGAGTGTCTACTGATGTCACGCAATTAATTACGTTTCCCCATCTTCATTACTGGAATTGAACCAATATCTCGAATTGATTTTTATCATCTCTCAACCATTGAACCACCAACTAGTGGATGGTGTCTTGGATTGAGAAGAAATTACAGTTTATGTTGCATGGTGCATATACATGAAGTGTGTGTATTTATTTACTAGTGCATTTATGTGTTTCTTTGATTTGAAACTTCTATTGTATCTGGTCGGATAATATGTTATGCTCTTAAAAACTTGGATTTTTATATAAATTGTAATGTGAAATATTGGTCTAACAAAACCCAATACTATAATTTATACTTTTTGGAAGCATCCGAGCAAATAAACAAATGAACTTGGGAAGAATTACAGAGCAAAACTGTGAAAACAAATTTCTATTGAATTACTGAAAGATGAATTTGTTGAAGTACAAACTGAGATTTTCATAAATACAAGACAGTAAAAAAAAAAAGCACGTGCTCAAAGCCAATAATACAGATGGGAACACTTCAGATGTTCAAGTGAAACATCTCTTGCTAAAAACAAAACAAATATAAGATAATTAAAAAAAAAAAAAGAAACAAAAAAGACAAAAAAAAACACCAAACTTGAGTACACAATTTCATGGTACATATTTGATTAAAAATCTGATAAATGTCAAATCATAAGATTATGATTTCTCATAGTTTTATAAAATGATTACAGAGCCTTGACAGCTTGGAACCTGGGCTCCTTAGGCGTGAACTTCTGCTCACTGTAGACATCCATATAGTCTCCAAACACAAACTTTGGATACTTAGCTTCTTCCTCCTTTGCCTTCTCGCTCAGCTCCTTGGCCGGTCCGATCGTTGCCTTGTAAGACGGGTTGTAAAATGACGCTATCGACCTTCTGTTACCGTCTTTCTTGGCCAACACTCTGTGCCATGCGCTCTTGTACCTGCTCGAAGAATTTCCCCATCTGGTTAAAGGTTAACCGATGCTAGACCGGGCTGAAGGAAACCCGGTTCAGGGATTAAACCGTTTGGTTTGATTGATCTTAGGTTCATCTCAGGTCAGTACATCTTCTAAGCACATATCTTAGTCCTCTCTTACTCTCCAAAGAGTTTGACCCGACTCGATCCATGACCCAAATCGATATATAGAACTCGTGAAAAAGTTACTCACCTGCCATTGCTGAGGACCTCAATCTGGTCACCAGTGTTGATGACAATGGCGTTGGGTAATGGCTGAACATCGATCCAGACACCGTCCTTGAGGACTTGGAGACCGTCCACTTGGTCGTCCTGGAAGAGCAAGACCACTCCTCCAGCGTCGGTGTGGGCTCGGAGGCCAGGGACGAGGTCAGGATGAGGGCACGGTGGATAGTGGCTGACTTTGGTACCGAAAAAGGCTGTCTCTTCTCCATCTTCCATTCCTTCGTTGAAGGCTTTCTTGATGTACCCTTTAGGTAAAGCCAAGTTCTCATCCATCACTTCCATCATCTTGCCCGCTAGCTTCCTTATCTCTCCCCTGTACTCTTTCATTGTCTCCCTGATCCATTCAGTTGTACATCTTATAAGTTTTGTTGTATACCCTTTGAACATTTACAGGAGAAAAACAAGAAAGAGAGAAAAGTTTTCATCTTTGTTAGATGGAATTTGAAAATGCTAACGCTTTAGTATCTAGATCTCCCTGTAAAAAAACCCGTTATTTATAGCAAAAAACCCCATTATAAGGAAGAAAAACCCGGAAAATATATATATATATATATATATTGTAATCGGGAGATGGGTACTTGAAATCGGGAGTGTTGGAAGGCCACTCGTGCTCGTTGTGATCCAAGAGAGTGAAAACATCTTCCCAGTCGACGTTTTCAAGCTTCTCGTCAGAAAATGAGTTTCTCTGAAGCAAATCGTCGAGCATCTTCACGGCCTTCGAGCTCTTGAACCCTTCCTCTCTCTCCTTGTAGCATTCCGACGCAAGCTTCTTCACCTTCTCCAACAATTCCTCTGCAATTCCATGATTCACCAGCTACATATATACACACACATTCATATAAAATGTTAAGTACATATATACATATGTAAAGACAAACCATGATTGGATTCAGGAAGAAGGAAGAGTATATCTAACCTGGAAAAACCCCCATTCTTCGCAAGCGCGAGCTATTTCAGCCAGAGTCTTGGCCCTTTCTTCGCCGTTGAGCTTGGAGAAGTCAATCACAGGGACCGCCATTTTCAGTTCCTTCCCCAGAGAGAGAGAGAGAGAGAGAGAGAGAGATGTGTGTGTGTGTGTATATATATATATGCGTGGAAGACTGTTTAGGGGTTTGTGAAGAGAATGAGGAGCTTAGGCCTCTATATATATAACTGTCGGAGGCTGAGGCTTCCTTCTACAAAATAACATCAACTGTTTTTTCCTACAAAATTACAAAACTGCCCCTTCTATTTTTTTAAAAAAAATTTGTGGTCAATAGACTCACTTCTGATTTTTTAAGAGAAAAAAAATTAATCAGTTAACCGCCCTTCTTGTAATCCGTTAAACTTAATGAATATATATATATATATATATATATATATATATATATAAGCTGGATCCAAAAATAAAAAAGAAGACATTATATTATTGATATATTATTACATAAAAAGTAGAAAAAAAAGGAATGAATTAATTGATTAATGTTAGTTAGGGTTAAATTGAAGTAGCCGACTAATTAAGATTTGAAAAGTAGAGTATAACGAATATATGAATTATGTTAATGGACCGCATTGATCTCCCAAAGCTTTGACTTCCACACAGCCCCTTATTTCTCACGCATCCCTCGTCATTATATATATATATATATATATATATATATTATTAGAAATCAAATGTATAAAAGCAAAATGGAAAAGGGTAGTGGAAATTTTTTCAATATGAAAGAAATACCACAATTTTTTCCACATTTGTTTTTGGTAGGAATCTTGTCCACCAATGTTTTACTTGGAGAGAATACAATAGTTCTATGCTCCGATTTTAATTATATTATATTATTTTTATCTATTTTTTTTATTATGAGAAACAAATAACTTTATTTGGTTTTTATATTAGATTTCGATTATTTGCGCGTAAGTTTCATAGATGAGAATATTTGGTTTTTAAATTTTTTTTCAATATATTATTCATGTTTATATTCAATTCAAACTCCATTAATTTAGTTTAAAAACATATTCAACCGATTTTTTAAATTATATTTGATTGAGTTAAGATTAAATACTGTTCGATTAGGTTTTACATACAAGAAAATATCCATAATAATATGTGAATAATTATTATATTATCAAAAGATTTTATATGTAATATTTTGTTGTGTGTACATGTAAATGGTAACATACGTGCGACGCCGTTTTGGTAGGGTACGAAGGTACTAGACCAGTTTTGGAATATGGGATTTGATTTATTTATTTGTGTCAAATCGAATAATGTATGTGTAAAATGATTAATTTTGAATAATTATTAGAGGGAAAATTATTGTCTGCACGATCTCTGCTGTACACATGAGCTGAGAGATGTTGTCTTCTTGTCTTTTTCTCAAATCCATTTGCCTCTGCCTAAATTTTAGCAGACAATAATTCGTATATTTATAATTTTCATTTTGTCCACAATCATCTACATAAAAAGAAAATTACAATAAATTATGAAAAAGCACACATGCACACACAAATATATATATATATATATATGTATGTATGTATATAATCCGGTGATTGGATTTATTAGCTAATTGCATTACTCCTAATACGAAATTCATTTTGATTCGTTGGTTAATTGATTCCAAAATCTTTTATGTTTTATTAAAACGGGTAACAAAAATACTGAACTAATGAAGATTCTTGTTTTTTTTTTTACCCAACAGTTGGTGGCCCAGTGGTTGAGAGGTGACAAAGTCATCCTCGAGGTCATGGGTTCGATTCCACTGGTGGGGATGGATGTAAATTTCTGGATCAAAATGGTCTATATATAAAGGCTGGTCCCGAACCTAGAGTGGATGTACATGTAGTCGGGCCGAAGGCTCGGGAAACCATCGTGGTTATCCAAAAAAAAAAAAGATTCTTGTTTTTTTTTTTCATTCATGACTGAAAATAAAAATAATTAACTAATTTTAATAAAAGCCGATATCCTTAATTAAAGAACTATTCGAATGGTATAATTCTATAAGCCTTTTATTGTACAGATCATTTAGAAGAAAAAATAAGATTAGGTAATAATAGGGAAGTTAAAACAGTTGATTATCCAACTAATTACTCTTCTTTGAATTTCTTAATCATCATGTACGTCATGGCTGTGTTTTATTAACGCGTTATCGTGTTATATATAGGTGATTTGTAGACTGTAAGTAAAGCCTATATATATATGTGTGTGTGTGTGTGAGAGAGAGAGAGACTAATTGAATTAAAATAATATAACGTTAATCTTTTTTTTTTCTTTCGTTAGTTCACATGCAGAAGTCACGGTGCCCTGCATAGTACAAACCCTAAGTATTTATAAAAATACCTAAGCTTACAGAATAATATAAATAAATGAATAATCCTTACGTATGCTTTTACGTAAAATAATAATTAATTATGTTGTTTTATTTTCATTTTTCCTTTTTTTTTGTGGTATAGGAAAAGGATAAACAGCAAGTGACCACATGGGATATAACACTTGGAAGTGGTGTCTTGTATGAATCAATTAAGTTTTGGAAAAAAAAAATTCTTGAAAAGGGAAAACCATTAAATTATTATCCAAATGCATTCCCCCATGACAATGTTTGCAAAGATGAATGAGTAATAACAAAGCACTAATTATAATTGAAAAAAAAATATAAAAGTGAGAAAATGAAGACAAAGAAATGGAAGCATGGGGGATAGGGCTAATGGGAGTCATGCAGAGAAAGAGAGTGTTCACATGGTGCTTTAGCAGTTTCTGTCTCTCACCACCTTTCTTAATTTACACCTTTTATTATTATTATTATTATTATTATTATTATTATTATTATAAAAACAATACTTACAATGAATTATCAGAATTATTATACGTACCCCCACTTAATTTAAAACAAATAAAAAAATCACCTTCACAAGCTAAAAAATTATCAAAACTACTTTTATTTTACTATATAGATTTCAAACCATACATTTTTTCTAATATTTTTTTTGTGATCAATATGATTAATATACTCACCATATAAATTTTGAACAATGTAACTAGTGTGACTATTATATAATTTTAACGGTGTGACCAGTATGGTCTTAAGATAACTCACGGATCACACAAAAAATGATATAAAAGATATGTCTGAAATTCATGTAGCAAAATATAATATTTTTTTTATAATGTCCCGATTGAAAGATTTGATTATTTATATCGCAGTAGAAGGTATTATAGGTAACAAAATCATCGTAACAATCTATTATTGGTGTTTTTCTTGGATACCAAAAATTTGCATAGGATAGCTTACTATACACACAGACAATCAAATTTAACAAGATAGATAATCAAATAATTTTTTTAAACTAAATCATTATTTTTCATCTTTTTAAATAAAATCAATTGATCGATGATCTTAACTAAAACCTAATGTAGAAACTACAAAATCATCTCCAGAATGTGTATTAAAAGTTTAAAACAAGAAGAAACACAAAAATTTATATTCAACTGTCACCTTATAGTCAGTCATTTGATTAAAGTATTGCTAAATGAGTTTAATCAACGGTATAATCCTAGGTAAAATTTAAATATATTATCTTTTTTTAACTACTCGAGCTTGTATTGCTTACATGTAAGCTTAGTATTATTGGTGGTACTAAAATTTTTAATTAATATAATTTAATATTTAATATTAGGGAAAGTGTTTTGTCCGCAAAGTAACTTGCCGTGGTCGGTTCGTTTCCTTCTATTTTGGACCAATTAATGATCCTACAGATCAAATGATTTTCTAATTATTAATTTTAGTATTTGCTGTTCCCTTACCGACTTCAATAATATCTTTTTATATTCCTTTACAATGGTAATAATATTAACTATTGGTTGTGAATTCTCAAGATTTGAAATAATACAATCGAACCGAGTAAAATTTAAATAACCGTTTGGTTATTAATTCTCAGAAAATGAAATAACCACATTCTAATTGAATCGAACTATATATACATCCCTATATACATATATATATATATGTATTTCTAATTTAATTATTGTTTTTTATTTTTTATTTATGTGTGTTATAAACTTTATTTATGAATTGAGATTTTGTTATTTTATATGCTAAAATGATTATGATGATATTTTATATTATATTTTGTTTGAATATTTTTCTATTATAAATGATTCAATTTTTTTTTAATATTATAACCGAATAGAATCTTTATTTGATTATAATTTTAAATAAATAAAATCTACCGAATAAAATTAAATAACCGTTTGGTTATGAGTTTTTAAAATTCAAAATACTCTTTCTAATTGAATTAGTTATTTCAATTTATATGAGAATTTTTCTATTCAATTAAAAAAATTTAATTCAATTCGAGTTCGTTTTTTATTAACAAAAATTATATATTTTTATATTTCTTGAATTTTTTTTTATATTTTTCATAATAAATAATTAATTAATTTAAAAAATATAACGATAGTTCGATATAGTTTGATTTTGATAGAGTTTTATTCAGATCCCATTTTTTGAGATCATTGATCTACGATCTTCTTGAATAATAAGAATAAGATAACAACTAATAGTGTTATTATTTTATATTCGTCGCAAATTATGTTTTACAGTATTATGTATACAAAGACGACCAAATAATTATCTGAAATATACTTCCTCGAAATTATTTCTTACATATTTATATTAATATTGTTTTCTAATATTGCACACGATCAGAATCAATGTACAAAATCTTGTCCGACGTCATGGTCGTGATTTTTTGCTTTTCATATACACAAGAACGAATTTCTTTTTATATAATACAATATATATAACTTCAAAATTAAACTAAATTAATTCTATTATAATGTCTTGAATTTGTATTACTTATCTCGTGACAAGTTCAGAGCATATGTATAAAATTTATTATCCCATTTTCCAAGCCTCGAAATTCACAAACATGTACACCTCTGAGCAATGTCCGATGATTAGTCAAACCCTAAATCATCATCAACATCAAGATCGCATTAATCCCAAGTTTATTTGGGATCGGCCATATGAATTCTTCTTTTTCACTCATTTCGATTTTGCGTCATATCTTCCGAGATTTGCAATACATCCAAATCATTCCTAATAACTCGTTCTCAAGTAAGTCTAGGCCTACATCTTTCTCGTTTATTCACTTCTATCATTATATCTACCTCTTTCTCGTTTATTCACTTCTATCCTTATATGCTCTAATTTTCTAATCGGAACGTCGAATGATCTACGCTTTATATGTCCAAACTACCTTAAACGCTCTTTCCGTAATTTCTCATGGTTACTGTAGAAATTTGTGGAATGATATTTTTATTGATAACCAAAATAACATATAAATAGATGAGAGTCTTACATTGAATAAGTAAAATAGACATAATAATAAATATTTCTAAATATATATTTTCCGGATTTGATAAGATCTCCAGTATACGATATATCTCGTAATATTCTTCAAGATTCGGTATATCTCAACACCCCTTCAAGTTGGAGCGTGGAGATCAGAAATGCTAAACTTGCAGAAAAGATTATCAAACGCATGTCGCTTGAACCATATCACCTTGAAATTTGTGTCAATGGAAGATATAACTGGAAAAAAAAAATCAAACAAACGATTGCGCTGCAACTTTGGCAATACGCATAAAAGAATCGTTCGATGATAACAAAAAAAGACGACAATCGCGGTGCGAAAAAGGAGTCTCGGGAATAACTCTGATTCATCCGAGATTGAAAGGCAACTACGCAAAAGCGTTTAGTGACAACAAAATTTTTGCAAGAATAAAATGATTGGCGGTTATGCGAATAATATTTAGAAACATGTGGGATTATGAGAGAAAAAAACAAACAAAGTGACTTTCTTATTCTTAAAAAAAACTCGAATTGATATTACCACTGGATCGGTATATCATCATCTTCATCTTCACTCTCATTATCAATCATCATTTTTATGAAAAAAACAACAAATTAGAAAAGAATCAAGCTCTGATACCATGTAGAAATTTGCGGAATGATATTTTTATTGATAACCAAAATAACATATAAATAGATGAGAATCTTATATTGAATAAGTAAAGTAGACATAATAATAAATATTTCTAAATATATATTTTTCGGATTTGATAAGATCTCCAGTATACGATATATCTCATAATATTCTTCAAGATCCGGTATATCTCAACAGTTACGACTCATAATTTCTCTTTAATACTCTCATTCCGGATTCTGTTCATCCGTGTATATCCGCACATTCATCGCAACATCCTCATCTCGGTCACACATATTTTGGACACATATTGTCATTTTGCCGCCCAACAGTCACTACCATACATCAATGCGGGTTTTATAGTTATATGGTAGAATTTTTCTTTCAACCGTATGGAAACTTTGCGATCGCAAAGGACCCCCGTGGCTTGCCTCCATTTCATTCATCCCGCTTTATATCTTATGACTAACATCTTCGTTGCAACCTCCATCTTTTTGGAAGATTGAACCAAGATATTTAAAATGCGGGTTTTGAGGTACTAATCCTCCTTACAAATTAATTCTTATCTCACTAGAACGCTTCCACTAAAATCGCAATGCATGTACTCGGTTTTCGTTCTACTAAGCCTAAAACCCTTAGCCTCTAATATATTTCTTCATAACTCTAATTGTCCATTTACTCTTTGTCTGGACTCATCTATTAACATGATGTCGTCCGCAAACATCATACACCACGGTACTTCTTTCTGTATATCCCTAATCAATTTGTCCATAACTAACGCAAAGAGGTACAGGCTTAAAGCGGATCTTTGGTGCAACCCTATCGAGATGGGAAAATTTCGCGTGTCACCCCCTGCTATGGTCGCACCTTCATACATGTCCTTCAGTACTTGTATGTATCTCATTGATACTCCTCTACGCTCTAATACCCACTATAAAACCTCTCTTAATACTCGATTATAAGCTTTTTCGAGAACAATAAATACCATATGCAAATCTTTTTCATATCTCAAACCCTAAATAAGATTAAAAAATATATTTATATATAGTTTAGGGGGAATATTAAATTTATAATAGGGGTTTACTTGAGTTACCGACATATCGAACAATACCCATCTTTGTACCGGTTTGGTTCGGTACGGGATCCGGTCATCGGATTCGGTATAGTTAAACCGAAATCCCAAATACCGAACCAATTGCCACCCTTCTTTGTCGTCTGGATGGGGGGACCTTAGCGTTGGTTTTGGTTTTCTCCTTTGTACAAAACTCTTCAAGTTTCGCCTGAATATTATGAAGCATGTAAAAACTAAAGAAATTCTCCGAGTTACGAAATCCGGAAAATGCAGAAAAAGGCATCCGAAACGAATAAACAAGTCATGAATCAGTGTATATAAGGATTCTCCGATTATGAAATGCAAAAACCATTGCAGAGTTTTGCAAATTTTCAGTCTTTCTTCCACCAAATGATTCAGATGCACTTGAATTCCATATTTCGGACGAGGTAAAAAATGTAGTGAACTGTGTATGTACCTTATAGTTTGGCTTGAGCCACTCCATTCTTTACTATGATAGGAAGAGTTCTTGAGATTCCATGGGTGATGACCAATATTGCAAGAGCGATTCTATGGTCAACCTTCTGGTTGCACTGAGCATTGAGATGAAAAACCGACACCCATCAATTTTATACTCTTCCAGAGGGTTTCTGTGTGCAAAACTTCTGACATTTACCTATCCAAAAGGCCTTTTCTACATTAGTATTTTTCAACCAGAAAAGGTCATAGCAAATGATCATCTGAGTATACCGCTGAACTGAGTCTGTTCATGTTTATGAGATGATCCCTCCAGAAGCAATCCAGTGTCTTCAGAAGAACTGCTCTCTGTTTTTAAAGAGAACTAATCAAATCAAGAGGTTAAAGTATATGAAATGGGTTTAATGGCTCGGGTTTTGAGGAGAGACAGAAAAATCATAGCCCGGGTATCGAAAGTTTCATCTGATCTCAGATGGGTCATCACAAATTATACACACCAATGCATATATATATATATATATATATACCTCTATTTCTTTTATGTATCCATCATCATAGCCAGATTCTTGGACAACATTCAAGTATGAAGCTATCAGATAATCGCCAAGGAATTTCCGGAGAAGGTTAACAGCATTTCGATGCCTTCCACTCCTACAGAAGATATTATTAGTATACAATAGGTAGTATTAGCACAGACTCTCCTTCAGCGTTAGAACTAAGCACTCACCCTGTCAAATCATCTGAGCAAATATCGAGCCAACGTCTTAAAGAAGAATTCTTTCTACGAATTCCCCTGAAAGCGTTTGGAGGTTTTGGCAGGTATGTGAGATGGAGTTCTTCCAAATGTATTGAACTTGCATCGTGCAGTTCTTCAAGGGAGCGCAACATGGCTTCTTCAGTGATCCCATCAATTGAATCTACAAGTTTTCATTGTTAGATTTCAAATATGACGAGCGTGTTGTTCTTGCCTAGCAAAGTAATTGTGGTCTCGCACAACAAAAAAAGAAAAGAGAAGAAAAGAAAAGAAAAAGCTTACCACCCAGAAGATTCCCCGAAATAGCCCTGAACTCTTTCAGTAACCTGTCCAAGCTCCAGAATCTCGGACGCTACCAAAAGAATATATAGATAGGATAAAATGAATATCCAGACAAAAAAAATACATGATCAGAAATATCATTATGAAAAAATAGGTCTTTCTTTGATCGGCTGCAATGGAGGACTGATTATACCTTATGTGGATCAGCATTTCCAAGAACAATTTCATCTACAACAGCTTGCATGTACCTAAGAAATAATTGTGTTGTTAACTAAAGGAGACCTCACACTCAAATCTAAAATCTCTCTGGAGTACTAGTTGTAGAAAATACATGCAGGTACATGCTAATGATTCAATTTCAATAAGTTGCTCCCATATTCACTTGAATGGGAGCTACTTGAAAGGAAAAAAAAAAGAACTTACTGGAATATATGATGAGAACAACTTTCATTATCGCCTGTCAACATCAGTTGCCTGAGATCATAGACATGCTTCCTTTGGACCTACAAAAAGAGCAAATGATCATCTGACAGAATAACTAGCGGGTCTCGATAAATATGAAAACTTTGTATGCAGAATATGGCATGCACATGGAATAATGACACCATGCAGAAGTTAAACGTAAAAGCAGTATCCTAGAATGTGAAATAATGAACAATATATGACAAACAGTAGGAAGAAAGAAGATACTAATTTGAACTTAAAATATGGTGAGAAATGTAATATTGCCTATGAGCGAATGCAGTAAAGGTGTTTGTCAATGCTGATACCTCTAGCACTTCGTCAAACTCGACCAGGCTTTTCCTTATACCAAAAAAGTACTTCTCCGCATTGATTTGGAGCGCTAGAAGCTAAAATGCCCGATGACAAGAGCCAGAGATTAGCAGCAATAAGTTGATCTATAAAATATACACCAATCATAGAACCACTAAGGAAATAAAAAGAAGGATCTGGTTACCTGTTTTACTATTGTATCACCTTCAATTGGTATATCTTCATCATTTGTAATCCTCGTTATAAGTTTCACAGCCCATTCAGTATCAAAGTTGAACTTTTGAAACATCTCATCTTGCAAGCTGTTCGACAAACGAATACTAGTAACTAGTTTACATTCAAGTTACAGAGAAAAAGCCAGTATATTCTTTTCCACAGGTCTTAGATCAGTTCAGAAAATATCATATCAAAACAAACACACGTGTGGAATTTCCAATATTGGAGGTTCGATGAGGTTACCTCACCATAAACCGTGTGGATCCTGGATCTCCTTGCCTTCCAGCTCTGCCACGGAGCTGGAAAAACCAAGAAACTTGAAAAATTACACATCTATGGAAACGTAAACTCTATGAACCAAGAACACATACTATGTGACAAGTCGATTTGGAAAACATTTCTACCATCATTAAGCATAGACCTCCAATACAATCATAGCAATAGCCAAAACATTCAGAAAAAGGGAAGAAAACTAAGAAAACCATCTTTTATCCTCTGGTGAACTGATTCTGAAGATATTTCTTCTTTAAACTATTTTTCTACACAAATACGCAGTGTAACATTAACTTAAAAGTGGGAAAGCCACCATAAAGGTGGTAAATGCGGTGTTCAGGGATTATGTACATATAAAAGATAACAGAGGTCAGAGTAACACATTGGAGTTTGAAAAGTAACAAGCAAGCAGACCATGAAAACCAGCAAGTGCCTACCTGGTTATCAATCCTCCGAGACTCGTGCAAAGATGTCCCAATCACATGAAGGCCTCCAAGCCTCTTCACTTCATAGCCTTCATGCAAACAGTGTGCTTCACAATCCTCTAAGACAGACAGATAAGCAAGAGCTATAGCAGGTCCTAGAGGATACATTTCAGACTGTTCGTTTACAAGCTCCTGCAGCTTCGTTGGATCCGTGGCCTGGCTCATCTCCACGGATTCTGTGATTAAGGATTTTGCCTTTCCACGTGTCCAGCTTTTACCCTCACTTTTGCCCACATACTTCGCTGTATAAATTCAATTCCAAAAGAGATCAAATAGACAAAACATTAGAAAAACATGATCCATAGAGTACGATGTGCTTAGTTGCCTAAGCTTGTCTTTCAGCACGCACGAAGATGAAACATAAATCTTTGAAGACAATGAGACAAACCCATGAGAGAAGCCTTGGCTAGCAAAGCTAATGATGATGGTCCAACTTTTATTTTTGACAATACCTAAAAAAGATTCACACAAGAAATTTAGTTCTTCTGCAATGGGATAAGACCAAAAAAATTATTCTGACCTTTATCTTTGGTGGTAATAATACCTATTGCAAAGAGATCACTAATTAGTAATTTCTGTAGCAAGGAATGGTACCTTCTGTGAGAATTCCTTAGCATCAACTTCATCCGGTGAAGTTTCATTTGTTAGGTATAGAAGGACACTATCTTCTATGATTTCCCTTGCAAGTATCTTGAAGGATTACAGCCACAAAATATAGCAGGAAAAAAATTAGACTGAACATATTTATCAAGGTAAAGAAACCAAAAACATAACATATAACTAACGTTAAATGCAATTTCGGCGATAAGAAAGGAATATCACATCAAGGATCCACTGAACAAGTGCTAGTAAGACATAGTTATGGTACCAGCCACCACATATGAAATGTTACCCAGCATACCTTCGGATTTCCTCCCAGAATTATGTCGGTACCTCTGCCAGCCATATTTGTAGAAATGGTGATGGCATATTTTCTTCCAGCTTGGGCTATGATTTCAGCTTCCCTGGCAGCATACTGAAAGCAGTGGAACACATAATATTAGACAACCCGCCATCATCCTGAATCATATATAGGGTTTATGGTGAGATCCACCTTTGATCGTGCATTCAGGACATTGTGAGGAATACCCCATTCTTTCAGCAATTCTGATAAATATTCAGAGTTCTCTACACTGCCAAATGAGGATTAATGGAAAATCGTGAGATACATATAATTGATTTTGAGGCAAGACTTGAAATCAGCATTTTATGAACGTTCTCCCTGGTTCATTAACCATAATTCCGGTACAAATCATGTACCCAATGAAGAAATTCTGATTATATGCAGATTTTTAAGATATACCAATAAAAGTGTGTCTGCCACACTGTGCGCCAATAAATTCCAATTGAATTTGGCACATGATTTTTATGTTTGAAGTTCTTGAATGATTGCATTGCCTGATGGATGGAAAAGATGCCAAAGTATTTATTAACACAGAGTTACCTTGTTGTTCCTACTAAAACAGGACGGCCTTGACTGAACATATATTCAACTTCTTGACGAACATGTTCCCATTTCCCACGAGCAGTCTAACATATATGACGTGAGAAGCATTAACAAGAAGAAAAAGAAAGTTTCACTTCCACCAACAAGGCAAAAGATAGACACAAACATAAATGTAATTTCTGCATGCTTACAGCAAAAGCTTGTATAGGTAGATCTATCCGAATATTTGGCAAATTTGTTGGAATTGCGATAACAGGCATCTGGAACATCTTCAAAAATTCTTTTTCCTGCCAGATGATGAAGGAAAAATGCATGTTTGAAATTTCCTTGTTAGTCAAGAAGGTAATATATAAGATGGCGAGAAAAAGTGAATCCCCTAATATATACTTCTGTTTTTGCTGTCCCAGTCATCCCTGAGAGCTTTGGATAGAGTTTGAAGAGTGATTGATAGGTGATTTGAGCAACAACAACTGAATCAGCCTAACAACAAAAAGGTCAAGTTCGTTTGAGCAGAAAATTTTGTAACGACATATAACGCTTATCATCACAATATATAGATCAGCAAGAAGACCTGAATTTTGACACCCTCTTTAGCCTCCACAGCCTGGTGGATCCCTTCAGACCATCTCCTTTTCTCTTCAACCCTTCCCGTCAACTAAAAGGATATTGTCAAACTTTCATTTGTTCAAGTTCTCTTTCTTCATCATAAACAAGGATAAAAAAAATACAATTAACGCTCATTATTCCACTAGCTACTGCAAAGGAAAACCAATACGTACCTCATTGATTATGAGCGCTTTCCCATTTCTCACAATATATTGAACATCCCGCTTGTAAAATTCTTTAGCTTTTAACGCATTCATCACAAACCTGCATATCAATTTCTCAGTCCCACTGAGTTGACTTTGGTGAAAAAAAGAAACATTACTCTTCAGAAACGCTAGGGAGTATTTTCATTTTTTAAAATATACTAGAGAAAAATGTTTGTATTCATAGTTTTGCAACAACTGCCAATCATCGGCATGTCACCATTCACAATCTCAGTATAACAACACAACCACACCTGCCAAACTCTTACATCACCACAAACCTTAAAGAAATATTTGTTATAGCAAAGAGTAGATACCTTGCCCATGGATCATTTTCATCCCATAAATCACCCGTTTCAAGAGCCATCTCAGCAAGAGCTATACCTTCTTCAGTCAATTCCACCGAGTTATCTTTCAGCTCAACTTTGTAATGCTAATAACAGCAAGATTCATAAAAGTCAGCCCCTTAAAACTAGAAGGAAAATGCTTATAACAAAAGGAAAAAAGAGGAAAGAATCAGACAATATCCTTTATGAGAAGCTCAGCCACTTTTGCAGCAACTGGATATCGTGCTGCATTTTCATTTGCCTGTTATACAAACGCAACAGAAAGGCCATCAGTCCGTAACACATTGATATTGCTTTTTCTTTCCTTCTGTTATAAATTGGAACGAGTCATTCCTGACAAAATTCAAACTTTTGCCTGTGTATATAAAGTATCTGGAAAATGACAAAACTTCTAATTAGAAGATGATGCATTACCTCACCACTTATTAGCAAAGGATTTCTGCCTTCATCGATGAGTACAGAGTCCACTTCGTCAACTATGGAAAAATGAAATGGTTTTGGCCTGTGGTTCATAAACTGTCAGTACTGAACCAAACGGAGAGGTAAATAGAGTTTGGAGGTCTACCATCTCATCACCAGTTGATCACTATTCGAAGCAAGATTATCTCGCAGATAATCAAAACCGAGCTCCTGTGAACATGCTAGATTGTTAGCACAAAAGAGATGAGGATGAATAAAATAATAGACATGAAAAAAAAAGCAGACCGATATATAAAATATCAAGCTGCTTACTGAGTTGTTCGTGTATGTGATATCACATCTATAGTTGGTCTTCCTCTCTTTAGCTTTCATTCCCCTCTAAATATACATCCAGATTCAGGGGAAAAAAAGGTCATAAATATATTCTGCTTCGAAATTGAGAACGTAAAACATAGAAATTACCAGAGTAACCAACCTGAATGAGACCCACAGAGAGACCTAAGTAGCGGTGAACACGACCCATCCATTCAGCATCACGCTGAGCCAGGTAATCATTCACAGTCACCACTGCCAGCAAACAATGCAATAGCAACAGCTTTAGATAGACACCAAACAGCCACATTTCCAGTATTACAATATGTTTCAAACTAAATCACTCCTAAACCATGTTCATCCAAGCAAGATATCTTATTGACCTTTCTTGAGATCTCAGCAAGTATAAAACCATAACAAGGTCAGAGGGAGCAGGCAGCATACCATGAACGCCCTCACCAGTAAGTGCATTAAGATAAGCAGCCAATGTGGAGACAAGTGTTTTCCCTTCACCTGTTTTCATCTCTGCAATGGATCCATCATGAAGCACCGCTCCACCAATGATCTGATGTAACGACTAAAACATAAGTATACCCAACTACCTAACTTCAAGATACTGCAAGGAAATAGCAATTTAGCATAAATTAAAACTTAGTACAGATGTAGAAGAGAGAGGAGGGGGCAAAACAGACCTGCACATCAAAATGTCGCATTCCAAGTGTCCTCTTTGCGGCTTCACGAACAACAGCAAAGGCCTCTAGAGCAAAAGACAAACACAAACAAAGTAAGAAACCATGTAGCGATGTCAATTATACCAAAAGCTTCCATTTTTTCAAGAGAACAGTAAACTAAAACCAAACCAGCTTGAATATCTGCTAACGTCTCCCCTCGGGCCAACCTTCCTCGAAACTCCTCAGTTTTTGCTTTCAGCTAAGAGAAGTAAAGGAAGAAACCCATTAAAAGAATTATCAATCAACGAAAATGACTCAAGGCGTTAAGAAAAAGTTGAACCTGTTCATTGGAGAGGCTTTTAATCCGCGGCTCAAGGGAATTGACAGATTCCACTAGACGATAGTAGTCCCGGACAACCCAATAGTTCATACTTGTAGCATTGCCTAAATTCCTCTTCAGACGACCCAAATTCTCCTGAAAAGAATCCAAGAACGTTGACGGAGTTCAAAACAATAAACAAAACAAAGGAGAATTGAAAACCCACAAAAAAGCTTCAAAAAGAATATTGCCCGAAAATCGCACAAACAACAAATTCTCCGGGAACCCAACAAGAAAAGAATCATGGAAACATTATTTCATTTTTTAGTTGGAACTTTAGGCGGTTCGCGAAAAAAAGATAGCGAATCAACAGTTTGTGTAGCCATAAATCTTATTTAATCAAAAGATTTTTCCGGTTTGAGAAATCCCTAGTTAAACACAGGAGAGAAACCATCGGAAACTATTTGCAGCGGGAAAGAAACGACGGAGAAAATCAGAAGAGGCAAATGATCAAACAGATGGTGTGCAGTCTTCTCAGAATTGAACCATCCTCACCGTAAGAGACGAAGCCACATATCTCGTCTGAGCACAACGATACCTACGAATCGGCGTGAACGACCGATAGAGACAAACACCAGGTATGGGTCTTATCCATGGAAGTTTATTACTTGGAGAGAGCGTACAAGGAACCCGGAAACACTGGTTAGTGTTCGAAAAGGTTGGAGCAGCAGCCATTTTTTCTCGCTTCTATGGCCTTCTTTAGATATCTTCTTGTCACTCGGACCAAATAGCCATGGACGTAGCTCTGTTCCTGTTTCTCGTTCTGCAAATTCGAAAAACTGGTGAGAAGAAGAAGAAGAAAGAAGGAAGAAGAAGATGATGACCGTTGTGGTTCGTATTTCACGCCTGGGCCCATTGGGCTTCATTCGTGTAGCTAATAGGCTCTGTTTGAATGGTACTGTTTGAGCCTGACTCAATTCTTCCGGATTTATCAATTTCATCCCGAACAAATATTAAATTTACGTTACTGTCCCAAACTATTAACATTATCATTTGAGCCCATTCTATAACATCACAGTACAAGGAAATGACATCATAGAGGGTTAGTAGGATGAGCAATTTGGTTTGTAACCAAATAATTGAATTCGTTTAAAGCGAGTCATATAATTGTAATCCATTTTGGAAGGGTAATAATTTTTCTAAGACCGAAAAAAATATTTGAAAAATCAATATTTTTTTAGAATTAAATATTAGCGAATAAAATCAAATGGAGTAGCTATAATTTTTTTTAAAATCAAAATAATCAAATTCGAATATAACCAAAATAGAATCTGAGTCAAAATTCGAAATAATCAAAGTTGTTGTAAATCACAATGATCAATCGTAAATTAAAATGATCAAACGTGAGATTTAAAATAAATATTATTGTAAACATTGTAATTATAATACGGTAAAAAAACAATAGAAAACGTTAATTTTTTATTTTATTGAGGATAGAAATCAAATTATTCCAATTTTCGTGAATTTTACATAAATTAGTAAAAATTAATTCCAAAACTTTGTTTTCCCACGCAGAGAGATATGTTCGAGCAAGCAAAGCATGTCTTTAGACGTCGCCGTTTTAAGAGAGAGGGTATTTTTTGTAATATATTGATCAACAATGGATAATATCGTCATTCAGGATATTCCAGTTTCTACTTTCTTTGATCGAGATCTTCGTCGTCGTCGCGATTCACCGGTCTTCGGGAGGCGAAAGATTGATCGGATTTTCTGGGGTTTCTCAGGTAAGGGACTACAACCTCGGATTATTTCCTGTTTGATCTCAGTTCACGAACTTTGTCGGCGAAAAATTCATGACCAATTGCGCTTTCTAGGTTTTCGATCAGTAGATCAGTGCGAACTTTTCCCGTTTTTTGGATTTCGGATCAAGCTCTGTGTTTTTCTCCCGTTTGATCGATGCCTGAAGCGATTTTGTTTTACTTTCTTTTTTCGTGTTTGGTTGGTAAGAAAATAGAATCAATGGCGGGAGGTGGAAGTTCCATGCTCTGTTCTCTTCTCCTTTTCACTGTGATCCTCTCGCTTCAAGAAATGTACCGTTCTAAGTTAGCTTCTTCAGAGTTGTTCACCATCCTCGGAGGATTCACCAGCTCCATCCTCTTTCTGGTGTCTCTGACAGTAAGTTCTTTTAAATCCGTTCAGATTTTCCTCTTATCCATGGAGGAATCTCCATTTTGGGTATACCCTAGGCTTGTGAAAGCAGTGATCTTTACTAAAATATGATCCTAGAGATTCTTGATGCTATGGTTCTGATCCTGAAATTGGGTTCTGATCACGCTGAAGCATCATCATCTGCTGATGTTTTGTCTTGGTGTGACTTTGTTGCAGTTCATTGGTAATTTCCAGGAATCGTCCGGCATGAAAACTGGTTGGGGCGCCGGTAAGTTTCTCACTTTCACATCCTGAAAGGCATTTGCATTTTCTGAGTTGTGGTGTAATCTATAGGGCAAAATCATTTAAGATTTGCGTGTTTATGTTTGTTCGTATGATCACGTGGTTCGGCGGGGTGAATTGCTAACCGAGTTTGCTCATGGTTATGGCCTTGATTTTTTTTTTGTGTGTGTATCCTCCCTCTCGATCAGTAGTTCTGAATTCTGTGAACTCTAGATCAGAGAAGTGCAGATAAAGTCTCTATTTTTTGCATCTGGGGTTTACAAATTTCGAAAGATTCGGTTCAACGTCTTTCAAGACGTGAGAATATATCAATGTCTTAGCCATTCGAGTTACGATTCATGAACACTTGGAAGTTTTGCAATTTTGCTAAAGTTTTTTCTCTCTCTGTTTTCATGGCAGTCATACTGGCAGAAGCAATTGCCCTTATTGCTGCTAGCACCGTTCATCGAGTTTGTATCACAACCTGGTACTAAAACCCTAACTCTGCTGTCTTCATGTTTCATCGCCTCACAACCTCTGGCCAAAATGGCTGTTCTTGCCTCATTGTTCATACATTTGTTGTTTCGCAGCTTCTTGTTCTCGGCTGGACTGTTATACGAGATGAACAAGATTTCGGGATACATGGTTTCCAAAACCGAATCGAAATCTAAAAGGCACTGATCCGGAGATTGCAATCGGTATTTGACTATGCAGGGATGATTTCGCCGCTTTGAACCAAGAATATCCGTTCTACGTCTCCAAATTGTAAGACCAGTTTCCTTCTCGGCTTATAAATTTAGGGATATTGATGGCCAAGGAAAGAATCTATGGATATAATAATCGTTTTCAGATCTCTAAGTTCTATCCATTAAGTTAGATACGCACATTTTGCTTCTATTCTTTGCCCATTCTGCATCAGATAGATATCACACGCATCAAAGGGAAGAAAAAGAGAAACAAAAACAGCCTCTGCTGTTTTATCTGCAAAGTTCTTTCGGACAACTGGTGGACATGTTCTTGATCCCGTCGTCGAATTCGGACCGAACAGAAAGTTTCAGTAATCGGTTCGGAACGGCTTGTAGGATTTGAGATCGAGAACAACTCCGGCAACAGAGCCAGCAGCCGCTGCGACCGTCACGACCAGGCAGGCAGAGCTGAAGACTTGGAGGCAAACCCATCTCGTGCTCCATCGGGGTATCTTCTTCTGCTCGATGTACATCTCCACCGGGAAATACACCGTCAACGGCCAAAACCCTAATGCCCCGAGCAGTCCCACCACGTCGTTGAAGAACGGTAGAAGCATCGAGATGACGGTTGTTATGATCACAAAAGCCGTCCTCCATATCAACCTGAATACACATTTTGGATCGCTCGGTCAGTAAGATGCATTTCAGATCATTCATTGCTAAGGACTAGGGGTGGACGAACGGTTTGGTTCAAGTTATTCGACTGTGATCTACGATTAGTTCGGGTTCGGTTATTTTATTTTTTTAAGAATTCATAATAAAACGGTTAAGTTTGAATATATCTAATTAATTATAAACAAATAATAACAAAATCTAAATATGGTTAGCTTTAATTTTAATTTGATTATAATATTAAAAGTTCGACACTGGTTGCATACCATAGTTATAAAATTGTATGAACAACTCTATTATGTTAATTTCTCTATTCAGATATAATATATACTACGTATTAATCGGCAATACAATATACAGGTGGATAACGGTTCTGTTTATTCAGATTCAGTTAAATCGGGTTCGATAATTCATATTTTGAAGATCCAAGACTACACTATTATTTAATTTTAATAGATTTGGTTATAGTTCGGTTTATAAACAACCGAACCATTTGTCCACTCCTATTTAGGAATAGTAATTTGCACCTGAAGAGGTTAAGGTTGTAGGGTTTGAAGCCCGGGACGGGGATTTTGATCTCCTTTGCGATGAACTCGTTGCCGGGAAACCTAGCCGAAGCTTGCTTCTCGACGAAGGCAAACAAGGGCTGGCAATAGACTTGGTACGCCCCGACAAGGTGAACCACGATGGCCGCATTGGCGACGTCAAGGAGCCAGAAAGGGTTGTAATAACCGAAACCGGTCAAGAGGTTGGCAGGGGACATGTCTCCGAATGCGGCGTAACCCATGCAACCGCACAGCATGTAGAACAACGTCGTCACTCCCACGCTTACGAGCGTCGCCTTCTTCATTGTCTTCTCCTCCGCCGGTGGAGATTTCAATGTGTCCTGTTTCTCAATTTTCCACCGTTTTTCGGACAAAAGTGTTAGATACATTTGCCATGTTCCATATATTAAGGATATATTGTTATAGACATACGGTTAATACAAAATTAATTTTTTAATTTTAGAGTTTAAATGTATTTACATATATATACACACTTTTTAATTCATCATTTACATTTTTAAGTACATTGCTCATAATTTAATAGATAAATGTATAATACTTATTTAATACCAATGATCATTTTTAGTTATTGTGTTGTGCTATTTGATTTTAATGATTACAAGTAATTTTTTGTTTGATTTAGGGTGTATTTTTATAAATTCTGAATATGTTATGAATTGATATTGTATAAATTTGAACATGTATATAAATTGCGATCGAAAATAGTTGAAGATATTATTATGGTTCATGTATGGCATGTAACCAAATGTTGTTGTCTCGTGTTTATTCGAGTTTTTGGGTACTAAACCGAGCAATGAAACATATAACCCGAAATATTCGGATTCAGATTTAGGTTCGATACTCTAAAAATCTCGGATATCCAATTCGTATCATATACACTTATCACTAATATATGTATGTGTATATATGTGTGTATTTATGTATGTATATGTATATGTAACCTGAATCTCAATGAGGATGATGGAGTAAGAGTAGGCGAAGGCGATGTCTCCAAGAGCTTGAAAGCTTCTCCAAACCTTCTGTGTCTCCGTCACTCTCCCAACGCTAATCCCAGTCAGACTCCCTCTCCATTTCCCATTTTCTGTCCAACAAAAAACGGTCTCTCTCATTTTTGACCCCGTAACTAACGAAATCTTGCACTTAGACCCCGGAACTTTTTACGCACCCGCGACTTTGGCGATGCCGAGGGCGAGACCGACGGAGGAGTAGGTGAAAGACATGACGGCGGCGAGAATGGACAGCCACCAGAGCTGATCGAAGTCTGGAATCTGCGAGAATATGATCTCCACGACTCCGAATGCGATCATGTACGGGTTGCTGTTCATTCGGCATGGATTCTTGCCTCTGCTCTTGTGGAAGCAATTTGATCTCTTTATTGCCCTGTTTCATTTGTTTTAGGGTTTCGATCAAAACCCGTTAGACCCTTCACTGGAAAATGCACAAATTTTGTAGCTTTTGATGTGAAATGTTAGGATCTGTCTAGTTTTCGTGTTTTGATCAGAACCCATTTGACCCATTGGCTAAAAATCGACAAAGTTTTTAGCTTTGAATGTTTCTATCTTGTTTTGTGTGTTTTGAACACTACCCATTTGCAAACCTAACGTAAAACATCAAAATCTTGTAGCTTTCCGACCAAAACATGTCTCGTTCATAGAGAATGAACATTCTTTTAAGGGTCAGAAGAAGGTTCTAGAATCCAATCACAAATGAACGGTACAAAAATGTGGGTTTAGGGTTAGGGAAAACACTCACATCATGCTTGTAGCCGAAGCAATGGTGTATCCAATCGCCACGCCGAAAAGATTCAGATATTGAACAAGTCCGCATAGCTTCACCTTCACACCACCTAACCCATTAACCCAAAAAGCCAAACCATACACACATGTTAGTTACTCCACAATTATATGGTAACGGGTCGTTTTCAAAGAATCTTCTTCACCTCGAATAAATTCAGATTCCTCTAAAAAAAAGGTTCCACCTTTACTTGCCTAAATGGAAGAGGAAATGAACAAAAAAGGTATCTAATTTCAATGTATTTCCACCTAACTATATGTCTATATCAATATCACTATACGGATGACGAATTTTATGCAACACCCGGAACAAAAAGATCTCAACTTTGTGAAAGATCATCTCTTGAGCACCATAAAAGAACTCGCTTTCTTGGGAAATACATACACACACACACACATATGTATGTATGTATATGTATATGTACCTAGGTTGGAACGGACGGCGTCCATGTAAGTGTAGTTCCGCTTGCCGGAGAGAGGGTCGCCGGAACGGTAACAAGAGGAGAGGAGAGTGGAAGTGAAATAAGTAACGGCAGAGAACAACAGCATGGCAGCCGGTCCGGCCACCCATCCCAACTGAGCCGTGGCCCACGCCAACGACAGCACCCCCGACCCTATCACCGCCGTTATTATGTGCGCGCTCGCCGTCCATACGCTCCCTATATAGCAAACGCATCATCATATATATATAATACATTCCTAATAACTTCATTAATTTCCTTGAATAACTGGATCAAACTGAGGTTTTGTTGACAAAACATTCTTGTTAAACTTCATTTTCTTGAATCCTTAGACATTGGTTCTTGAACTAGAAACAGCCGTTTACTAAAAAAAAACATTCTTTTTTATAACTAAACTTTTGTTGAAATGAATATTTACGCTTCGAAGCTAAATCAGATGTTGGAGTTAATTCAGCATAAGATTGGAGATTGGAATGAAAGTTGGAAATGATTTAAACAATTAGAGACACAAAATCAATTAATGTAGAAATCAATTGTATTAATTGTGTCAATTCTCTCTTATCTTGTCTTATATTAATTAATTTGCATCAAATCTTATTTTTTTAATATCCTTTTTTTTTAGTTTCTAATATAAATACGAGACATATTTTCATTGTAATTCAAAAAACACATAAAGAAGAGATGTGGCAAAAGTTTGTTCTTTGTCTTTTTCTTCCTTGTATTTTTTTTTTAATTTAATTTCCACGTTACAATATCCAATAACTTTATATTCTTGAATCCTCAAACACAGAATATTCGATAACCAATTTATCTTTTTTTAGATTTGTGTTTGATCGGTGAATAGCGAATACTCTTTTTGAAAAAGAAGGTAAGAAAGAAAACATGGCGTTACCGGTTCGTTTGTGCCGACCGTCGTCGTCGAATATCTCGGATCCGCCGGACGGTGGCATGTCCACGGCGAAAGCTTGTCGGTCATGGCTCTTTGCAGATTGAACCATTTTTTTTTTAAATGTGAGTTTTTTTTTTTGGGAGAGAAGTGATATTTGAGAGTAGAAGAAAAAAAAAATACAGACAAGGAGTTAAGGAAGAGAAGAGTGTTGTGTTTATTTGTGATGGGTAACGTGTTGATACATACATATATATATATATATATATATATATATAATTATGGCTTTTTGCCACGAATTAAATACACATTGATTGTATTTTTAACCAAAATCCGAGGACGTTTATTAAAAAAACAAGGTTAGTGAGAAATTATGTTTTCTTTTTTAAGAAAATTAAACAAGAGAGTCTGTCTTTGTGAGGAGTGAAAAGATCGGAATGATGATGGAATAGAAATTGAGTTTATTGTGTGTGTATGTATATAGAGAAAGAGAGATACGTATTTATAGTATCGGAGTGACGTGTTCACATTAGTATATGTTTTTAAAATTATTTTTATATAAAATTAATATTTATCTATATGTATATATATTCTTTACAAAATCAATCTAATATTTCTCGTTTTTTTTTAAATTAATATCCCGCAATAAAAATTTCTGTGGTCACATAATTTGTAGTGTAAGAGTAAGGGGAAAAGTTGGTGGGACCAAAACCATGTGGGATTGAAAATTGACTTCAATGACTTGATCATATAATATGTTAAAATAGAATATTTCATAAAGAAAATAATACAAATATAAAAAGACAATGAGGAGGAAAATAAAGGGCAGTCCAAAGATGCTCACATCATTTGGACTTTAAGGTTCAACTCTCAGTTTGGATTTTGTTCATCAAAATTATAAATAAAATTAATTTAAATATATAAAAATATCGGATAATGTTCTACAGCATCAGTCTTTTCACTCTCAAATTTAATTTTCAAAACTTTTCATATAGAGGTTTTAGCCATACCATTTTTAATTAATGCATACCATACATTTCAATCTATTGGACCGTTAGTTTAATTTTTAACTTACCTTTTATTTTCATTTTGCAATAACTACTAGCCCTAAACCGGTCTATTCAATAGTTAACCACCAGTCATACTCATATATAATTGACGCTAATCGTAAGTAATTTACCAAATTAGCCTAATAATTCAAACCTGAAATGTAAATTATTATTATTAAATAATAAAGGGGAACACATGAACCTACCATAAATGATTAATTGGTAGAAAAAGGATTTTAAAAATAATTGAGATCTCTAAATTAAACCACCTTTGAATTGATCACCTATACAATATATCTTGTTCTTCATAGAAGTTTCTTGAATATTAAAAAAATTAAATGAAAACGGTACGTACATTTTGAAATGTAAAATATGGCCTATTAGGTAGGGGTGGCCATTTCGGGTTTCGGTTCGGTTTTCGGTTCGGTTATTTCGGGTTCGGTTATTTCGGTTATAAAAAAATCATACCCAAACGGTTATATAGATTTATTCGGTTCGGTTCACGGCAACGTCTCCGTTGCATTCCGTCGCAAATTTTCGACGGATTTTACGACTCTTTGAGATGTAAAATTTGTTCCCGCATTCCGTCGCTAAACCTAGGGGTGACCATTTCGGGTTTCGGTTCGGTTTTCGGTTCGGTTATTTCGGGTTCGGTTATTTCGGTTATAAAAAAATCATACCCAAACGGTTATATAGATTTATTCGGTTCGGTTCGGTTCGGTTTCGGTTCGGTTCGGTTCGGTTTTTGCATAATAAAATTATAACCAAACGGTTAAATTTTTTGGTTTATTCGGTTCGGTTTTAAATCGGTTCGGTTCGGTTATGATATATTTAAAAAAAAAGAATATTAATCCTATACAAACTTCAAAATATTTATCCAAATAAATCTATAAAATAATTAATCCTCCAAAAAAGTTACAAAAAAATCTACAAAAACTTCAATAATTAGATTAAAAGTTAAAAATATTAAATTTTATGGTTTATTAGGTGAAACACATAAGGTACAAATGAACTACAAAAAAATAACACTAATAATAATAAGGGTAAAAATTAAAATATTATAAAAACTCTAATAACCGTTCGGTTAACCGCGGTTATTCGGTTATTAACCGAACCGAACCGAACCCGAACGGTTATTCAACTTCCTCAACCGTTCGGTTATTCGGTTATTAACCGAAATGGCCACCCCTAATACTTCCCCTTTTGAACCGAGAGGAAGATATCACGAATCATGTTGCCAATGTGCATGCGTATCTCTTGTAATGACAACATTGCCGATCAGTTGACGAAGCCTCTCCCTTCGTCGAAGCATGAGGGTCATGTTAGGGATATGGACATTAGATGTTTAGCAGTCCATGATTAGAGCAAGTGGGAGATTGTTGGTTAAGTGACCAATGTCTCTCTCAAAGACTTTCGATAGTACGGGTATGTATTCTACATAATTTAGATATTAAAACATTGTTTGATGCACATACCCCGATTGTATTACGATTATATTTATGACAAACGGTACTATAAAATGATCACGGACTTATCACTACAAGAAAATTCTAGTATAGCTACGGAAACCGTTGTAGATTCTACTACAGAAGCTGAGTATATTGCAGCGTCGGACGCGGCAAAGGAAGCTGTTTGGATCAGGAAGTTTGTTGGCGACTTGGGTGTCATTCTTAGTGCTGATAGCCCCATTGCTCCGTGCATGGCAGAAATGGCACTCTCCCTTCTCGGCCTTCGATTTACATTTTGGGTTACGGAACTTGTATTTCCCACATTTTATACGGTTAAATTATAACTATTCGGACATGTGTTATTTTGCGATATTGATCGCCCGTGATATTTTCCGCTGCTTACTCTGGTTTGATTAAAAATGTTTTTGTATTTCGTGATTTTGCTTCCGCAACTTATTATTTTATTTTATATCGTCCATGTGACACAGCCCGTATACTGTACACGGGTTACGGGTGTCACAACTTTTGGTATCAGAGCCACGTTCTTTCCTTGGGAAGGAACCGTGCTCATTTCACAAGACAAAGGACTCTAACATTACTATATAGTTAAACATAGATCTGATCTTTACATGTAATTGGAGTGTGTGTATAGGCACATTTAGATCGTATGGTTATATAATACATATTTAATGTAGGTCACAAACTTCATATATACACTGTATCTAGATAAAGGGGTATAACGTATTTAGAGTGCATATAGGACTCTACAATATGTGTGATAAAACTACTGAGTGCACGTAACATGTACTACAATAGTTAATATGCGGTATGTACACATTTAAACTAAATACATATCATAAACATGATCAGAAGTTTTCTCTGTAGAAACAGAGGTTACGGAACTGGGATCTCGTATTTTGGAGGAAGGACACTTCGGGTTCGAGGTGGTTACTCATGGTGATACAAGAAGACGTTCTGGTCATCATCGGGAGGTAAGGCTCGGTCTGCTATGACTGAGGCAGGTAATAATCTCTCGTTTGAGGTTGATCGAATACGGTGAGTCCAATGATACTTTGGACTCACTAAGGGCTGCTAACGATTTGTTAGGGGTCGTCGGGCGGTGATATACACTAAGGATTCACTTCCTCCACAAGGTGGAGATTGTTGGGATATGTGAAGGAAGTAAAACCTTCTTTTTCATTCAGAGGGTTTGGATTTGTTTTAGGGTTGACTAAAACAACCCAATCCAACATATTCTTCTATGTATGCGACTCTTTCAGTTTGCGCCAAAGCCACAAACCGGGGCTCGCCGGAACACCACCGAAGAGAACATCGAAAGAAAGACACAAGAGAACAAGAACGACTACACCTGGAAACTCCACCGCGATGCAGCTCCGATCGCCGGCTTCGCCGTCTCCCATAACCGTCGTCGTCGCCCTGGCTTTTTCTTCTCTCTCTCCTGCGAAACTGAAAGAGTCGCATACATAGAAGAATATGTTGGATTGGGTTGTTTTAGTCAACCCTAAAACAAATCCAAACCGGATGCAACATCCATCGGTCACCACGTCTCACTCACTAGGGAGGTCGAGCTGTTGAAGAAAAAGATTCAAGAGTTCGAGGAGGATCGCAGGAAGATTGCTAGACTTGAAGAAGCTGAGGCACGGATTGCGCGTTACGAGACGCTTTTCGCCCGGCTATTTCCTCCTCGAGACGACCCACCAACGGCGCAAGATATGCCGTTCAACCCATTTTTGACTCCTCAGCCCGGAGTCGGACCTTCTACAACACCCGCGGACCAAACAACCGGATCAGACAATCCGGATAATTTTTTTGTTTAGTGTTTAATTTGTTTTTATTTAATAAATACTTTTTATTTAATAAATACTTTTTAATTTTAAATAAATAATTTTAATTTTATATTTTTATATTTATTTTTAAATTTTTATTTGAATTTAAATAATTATTATTTTTTAATATTTGTTTTACAAATTTTACATTTGCGACAGAATGCTACCATTTACATTAGTCGGAAAATTGCGACCGAATACCTACCGCTATATTTGGTCGTTACATTTGCGACAGATTGCGACTGATGATATTTGGTCGTTCCATTTGCGACAGAGTGCGACTGATGCTATTTGTCGTTACGTAGCGACGGAGTACCTACTCCTATTTCTGTCGCAATGTGCGACAGAAATCAATTCACCAATTTGCGACAGATTACCGACCTTAACCATCTGTCGTATATTAGCGACCGATAATCTACAGATCGGTCGGTCGCAAGTTTGCGACAGAATCACGACCACACAGATTTTGCGACAACGATTTAGCGACCGACAGTCGTCAGTCGTAATCGGTCGCAAATATTTTTTACCGACAGATTCTTCTTCATGTTGCGACAGATTTTTCGGTCGCAAATAACAGTTTTTCTTGTAGTGTATATATATGAGTTTATCTATGGTTTATATGAGTTAGTATTTCACAATTTCAAGCCATATATTTCTTTATATGTTTTTAGAATTTAATCTCCTAATTGCTAATTACGAACTCCATCTTTGCTGTTTCTTCGTTTCGGTACATGACATATACCATCATACGCACAAACCGAATCATAGACCTCACCGATTCAATAACTTGACACACACACACACACACACACATATATATATATATATATATATATATCATGTTATCATATGTGAACAACCCGAATCATTAACCGATGATATATCTGACAGCATATGCCAACATGATTAGAGTATAAATCCTTTTATTTACCATAATTTATCTCTAATTCAATTAGGGTTTAGTGTGAGATCTAAGTACATGTGGAGACTCCGTTACTACAGATATAAAATATACATATTTTTCTCGCATATATACATACATTTAATTACCTTCCAACATAAACATATTAAAAAAATGAAAGATTTAAAAAGAAATGTCGCAACAGTGT